TAACTCGACATACATAATCTTTAAATTTTTTTTTCCCCAACAGATAAATCTCTCTAAATTGTTGGTATTATTTAGCTGTTAACATTAATAAATATAAATCGCGCCAAGGCCGTTAATTAAATATTTAATATACGGGAGAAACAGGTATTTTGTGTTGATAAAAAGTAAGGTTAGAAATGAAGTCGTCGTCGTCTAAAGGGGGAAAAAGGAAATTATGAAACGGTTTTACGAGAAATCGAAATTGAGAAAAAAATTACTTTAATAATCGATTACACTCTTACCTCAAACGTTTTCCATGCACCTTTACGACGAATCACACCGCGAACAACGCAATTTTTCGAACTATTTCCGCCCGAATTAACTCAGCACAACATTACGTTGAGAATCATAACCGTTTTGGCCATATTTTCGACACGAACCAATTGACAGTTGGCTGTATAATACATAATACGCCATCTATTAGAAAATTTTATTATTATACCATTAAAATTACAGGTATCTATTTCCTTTTAGCTTTTTGAATTCTTTGTGTGTTTTAAAATAATTCAAATTTAATGGGTGACAGAAAAAGAAGAGCCACAGTTTATTACATAATTGCAGCAGTGTTGCTAGAAGAAGTAAATAACGGCGTGAACGTTGCTACAAACCTTGGTATCTGCAAAAAAGCGTTTTACACAGTGGAGATGGCCGAAAATGCATTTGAAATTTTATTGAGCGAAGTTGTTCCTCTCATTGAAAAAAAGGACACACTCTTGAGGGAAGTAATATCAGCGCATCTCGACTGATTGCCACACTTCGGTTTCTAGCAGCTGGGAGAAGTTTTCAAGATTTGTCATTCTCAATGAGAATATCTCCTCAGGCTCTTGGAGAGATAATAATAGAAACATGCGTGGCAATACGGAAAGCGCTGAAAAATTGTATTCTGATAAGCTTACTTTATCTGGTAAGACCATAGGTGTGACTAAATAAAATACATTCCGAAAAGAGGAACCATACTTTATTACTATAACTATAACTTAACTATATACTATGTACGAGAATCCCTCTAACAGAGTCCCTGCCGTGTGGGGTTCAGAATGATGAGAATACGAATTCGAACCCCAACTAGGAGATGGTGATGGAGTGGATAAAGGCCCTGATGGCTGAACCAGATAGCTGCCTCTGCTTAAAAGACCCATTTGGCCATCAAGTAATGTTTCGTTAATTAGTTTATCAGCAAATATTAGCTGTTGTTGACTTAACTTCCTAATTTAACAGCGTAGCTCTTTGCCATTATCAAAAACTCATCGTCTTCAGCTTCCGTTAGCGTAGGTTTTGAAAGCAGATCATGTGATGAAGGGAGCGTCTTTCGCTTTCTGTTAGGTTGTGTATATATATATATATATATATATTAGCAGTGGGTGTAGGTCCTGAAGTTGATGGGGAAGATGGAGCTACCTATAAGAAAAATATAAATATTTGTTACCTAAAATGACTATTTAAATTAAATATTAACCAGTTATTTTAATTTTTGGTGTCAGCTTCCTCAAAGTGAACAAAAGTGGAAACATGTCGCTCAAGATTTCGAAGAAAAATGGCAATTTCCACACTACCTTGGCGCAATTGACGGAAAGCACATTGAGATTAAAAAACCAGCGTATTCCGGCTCTCGTTACATCAATTATAAGGGAAGTTTCAGCGTTGTGTTGATGGCAATAGTCGATGCAAACTACGAAGTTTTGTGGGAACAAACGATAGAATTTCTGATGGAGGCGTTATTAAAAACACGACTTTCTACGACAGTCCAAAAAAGGTGAACTGAACATTCCACTTCCCCAGCATCTTCCGGGAGGTAATAAATCTGCTCCATATGTCTTTATTGGGGAAGAGGCATTTCAGTTACATGATAATTTCATGAAACCCTTTTCTTTTTCCGTGCTTAACCGGGAAAGACGTATTTTTAACTATCGCCTTTCTAGAGCAAGAAGAATTGTAGAAAATTTTTTTGGAATTTTAGTATCTAGATTTACAACATTTCAAAAACCTATCAATCTGTCGCCAACTAAGGTCAATGCCATAGTTCTGACATGCTGTTATTTGCATAATTTTCTAAAAAGACATGCCAGTAATTATAACAATAATCAACAGCCCGTTTATCGAAATTCGCTCGACGAGGAATCTCGAACATCCTTAAATAGTGCAGGTCTAGTTGATATCAGAAACGGCAGTAGTTCATCTTCCTCTAAATCAGCTAAAGAAATTCGCGACATTTTCTGTAGTTACTTTAAGAAGAAGGTAAAATCGAGTGGCAAGAAAATAGCCTTTGAATATAAACATGCACAAATTTGTTTTAAGATAAACAGAAATAATAGTGTTTTATAACATAATAATAAATAATTGTTGCACGTTTACTTGCCTTATTAGTAAATGTCATTCTCCACTTCATTGGTTGAATCCCTGGCGTCAGGAGTTTCTTGGTCTACTAAAAGCATCAGTTGCCCGAAATACTACAGACTCGGAACATACACATCGTTAGCTGAAGTCCCCGATCTCTTTGAATCATTTACTTTCTTCAACTCTTTGCGAAAAACGGATCTTACAAATTATTTATTTTCTTCACTACAGTATCACGTGTTGCATCAGGCTCAAGAGGTTTCAGTTTTTCAATTAAAATGTCGTATGCTGCCGCTTTCTTAACACGATTAGAATAAGATACGCGTGGTATTAGATTTCTTCCGGTTTCATAAATGGTTTCAGCCAACCACATTACCACGTCAGATGGTTTATTTGACAAGTTGTAACCACGTTTGGTTGAGTGTACCAGGTTTTCAAGACTATCGCTTAAATTTTAATACTATATTTAGCTGGTTAACTTGGAATATATTGCCTAAAGGAACATTTTCCTCGAAAGGCCACTTGTTGTTTGTCAATTATGCAGTATTGAGATAGAGAGTAGTGCTGCTTGCAGTTAGAAGTGAAGATTTCAAAAATTTCTCTTATCGTAGCAAGTTTATTCAGAGGTCTGCGTTCACTCCCAGTAAACAAGAAACCTCTGTGAAACATTTCAATTTTAATGTACAGTGAATTAAATGAAACATCTTAGAACTATGTTTCATATACGATTTTTACGAAACGTATCTAAAGATATGTATCAAATACATTTCAGTAGAAATATTTATGAAATATCATTAAAATATGTAGCAGAAACATTTCATTTGAAACATTTCGCTACAAATGTGTCTGAAACATGTCTGGAATATCTTCAGCACCGCCTGTGAACGTATGTACAAACATTAATTAATGTTTGTAAACAGAACTAACCTGAGGTAACATTCCTTCACGGTTTAATTGACAGTTCAAAAGAAAACTTCACGCTATGATTGGCATTACTAATTACTAAAGAAAACTTCACGCTATAATTAATGTTTGTAAACAGAACTAACCTTACGTAACATTCCTTAAGGAATGTTAAAACATTTCAGAAATAATTCAAAACCGTTGTTGAAACATTTTAGTAATGTACCGTAATTGTCAACTGTATGTTGCAGAAACATTTCAATAGAAACGTTTCAATGAAACATAAAAAGGGCCGGGCATTAGCAGTTTCAGACACGTTTCACCTATGTTTCAGAAATATGTCGAAGAAACATTTCATGTTTCAATAATATGTATCAGAAATGTTTCTGAAACGCAAATTTGTTTACTGGGCTCCTTGTTGTGATATCATCAAACCTGATGTACTCTAACAATAAATAGAACTATTTCAGTAATCCAAGATTTTTTATCATTATCGTTTCCTAACTTATTCAGAAGATCTCTTAGAGCCGCCACCAATTCATTCTGTACGTATCCATTTTGACACATCTGATTTGAATTGCAATTTTGAAATTCAACAATACAATTACAGAAACTAATAAATGCTCCGATGTTAAATACTATGTAAAACCTATCTAGACTTGAATTTTTTGATAAACTACTATGCGAAGTTACTCTGGGTATAGAAAAAAGAATTTGTGGCTCTGTTATTCCTGATATATTTACAACTACGCAACAATAACTTATTGCCTAGTAAGTTTTTCGTCTTAATAATCATATGATAAAACCATACCTGAAAAATCAGACATAGATAATCCAAGATAATCCGATTATATCGCGTATGAAGAATGTCTGAATCTGCGTTTGCTTTACTTTCGCAAACATTCAGAATATTTCATTTCCTTATAATGAGTAAGTCTAAACCAATGTTTCAATAAATAATGTAACATGCTGTTTGCGCAACATGTAATAATATTTGCAGAAATTTACACCAAATATATAACCAAGAAATAGAAATCCTCGCGAATAACATGTTTTCTATTACAAGACTAGTAGAGTTTGCTATTGTCAAAGACTTTAAAATTTAAAATAAAAAAGAAAGAACATAAAAATCAATAGAAATAAATAGAAAAGAACAATATTTAAAATTTAAGATTAGTTTAAAAAGTATTTCAATACCTCTCAATCTTCAGTAGAATGGCAAGGAGGTAGCTTGTGGAGAGGCATAATACAGACTCTTTAGCCGCTTCAGAAACTCACAGTTTATAAGTATCTGGATGTCATGGACACAACTCACATATCCAGTGGAAATCGAAACGTAATGACAGTTACCTATTTTTTCGAAGATTAATAATAATTCGCAAAAATCTTCTAAGGAACTCGCTCGAATCTTGCAGTTACTGCGACAGAATACTGCTTCAGATACGCTACACGCATTGAAACTTCAAGAACATATATCAAGATCTAAGTAATTACTATTTATTTTAGATTTAAGTTATTAAAAAAAAATTGTTATAATAATGAACTATCACTATAAACAAAACGTGAATTGTTTTCATTCAGATTAAATTAGACATAATTCAGTAATAATATCTAATTTTTTTAAAAACTATTTCAACCGGATGCGTATCCGGGTTACCGTTTACATTCAATTTAAATTGATTTAGAAACAAGCGAAGAGTATTTAATAACTTGTCAGTTCACAAACGCTTTAAATCTGAACTTGTTATTTTAATCCTTCTCCATTCATTTTTCCTATATCCTTTGATTTCTATTATAAAATGAATCCTGAATACATTGAACAAATCAGTAACAGTTGGTGGCCTTATATAATATCATTTTTTATAGTTGTAATTTCAGTAATTCGGTAAGTTTTAATTTTTACCCCTTATTTATTATTAATTATTACTTTTTTTAATAGAAATTATATGGGTGGCCCACAGTGTCCATCAAAAACACGTATGGATGGGAAAACTGTGTTAATAACAGGTGCTTCTGGAGGAATAGGTTTTGAAACTGCGAAAGAATTAGCCGCTCGAGGTGCAACCGTTATTTTAACTTGTCGCAATTTTGAAAACGGTCAAAAAGCAACTGCAAAAATAAAAAGGTACTGTCGACAAGCGAAAATTGATGTAAAATTATTAGATGTATCCGATATGAGCGCTATTCGACGATTTTCTGTTTTAATGAAACAAAACTATAAAAAAATCGACGTGCTTATTAACAACGCTGGGATTGTTTTTCACCCTTTTAAATGGACTTCAGAAGGTTTTGAATTAACTTTAGCCACAAATTATTTAGGACCGTTTTTATTAACGCATATGTTGCTACCTTTATTAAAAAAATCGGATAACGGACGAATAATTAATTTAACTTCAGTCGCACATTCTTCAGGACGAATTAATTTGAACGATATGAATTTGGAAAAAAGGTTTCTCGAAAGGGACGCTTTTAGTCAAAGCAAATTAGCTTTGATTTTATTTACAAGACACGTTGCAAAGATATTAAAAGGTATTTAATTAAAAAGAATTGTTTGGGACGATTTAAATTTATCTTTTTTTAGATACGCGAGTAACAATAAATTGTGTTAATCCTGGAATTGTTAGAAACACTAAACATTTAAAAAATTCTCCTTTTGGAGCTGGATTTATGGCAAAAGTTTCAACGTATCCTTGGGTTTGGTTATTTTTAAAAACACCCAAACAAGGTGCTCAAACTGTTATTTTTGCTGCTACAGATCCGATTTTAATGAATGTTACTGGAGAATATTTAAGGTAAAGCTGGAATCATTTAAGGTTAATTAATTTTGTTTGATTCTTATATATTTTTTTAAATAGTGATTGTGAAATAAGGGAACCTGGATATACAGCCCAAAATGCTTACATAGCCGAACAACTCTATGATAAAACTTGTTCAATGTTACAATTGGAGAAAAAATTAATATCTGAGTTGGGATCACAAATGTATTAATTAAAATATCTTGTACATTGTAAAATAAACATTTAAATGTTTAATCTTGTCCATTTTTCACTAACAGCCCATAACCAAACGCTCATATCATCATCTTGAGCTTTCTGACTTACTTCAGCCTCCTTTTGGTCACTAAAATAAAGTTAAAATTATTAATAAGTCTGAAACTTTTTGTTATATTTCAACTTACGCAAAATATTTGCCACTAACACCTTCTAATTCAGGATCTAAAGCTGCATATATTGTTGTTTGTGCTCCTTGTCGAGGTCCTTTTACAAAAGGCCAAACAAATGGTTTTATTAATATTGTTGCTAACCAACTATTGAAGAAACTCATGTGTCTAATTAATTCGGTATCAACAATTCCAGGATGAAGAGAGTTTACTGTAACTTTTGTTCCAGTTAATTTTTTACTTAATTCTTTTGTAAATAAAATATTTACTAATTTGCTTTGTGCATATGCTTTATAAGGTTCATAATTTTTCTCACTATTTAAATCTTCTTTATTTATTTCTCCTCTTTTGTGTGCTACACTAGAAACATTAATGATTCTGCTAGGTTCTGAAGATTTCAACATATCCAATAATAAGTTTGTAAGAAGGAAATGGCCTAAATGATTCACACCAAACTGCATTTCAAAACCATCCGAAGTTTTTGAATCTTTGGGAGTTCTCATTACCCCAGCATTATTTATTAAAATATGTAAATGTTCTTGTTCCTTTTTAAAATTATCTACAAATTCTCTGATTGATTTTAACGAAGATAAATCACATTTTCTACAGTAAACATATTTATTTTTGGTGTCAACAACAATTTCTTCTCTTGTCTAAAAAATTCATTTAAAGTAAAATAATTTTTAACAATATTAATAGTTACTTTTTCACATCTTCTCATATCTCGGCAAGCCATATAAACCTTTGCGCCTCTCCTTGCTAATTCCCATGCTGTCTCTTTACCAATACCTGTATTAGCTCCAGTAACAATAACTACTTTATCGTTTGCTCTTACATCTTTTCTATATTGCATTCCACCGAGTATTTCTCTAAATTAAATTAATGTTTGAGGTTAGAATCTTTTATGAATCAATAAGAAGTAACGTACTTTATTAAACAAGCCAAACCAAACGTTCCAGCAATTCCACTTAAATAAATAATCGGTTTAGGGAAATTTTTTACCATTTTAAACTATTTTTTTGAGGATCTTAGGTAACATAACCCTACTTTCTATTAAAAGTCAAATGTGACATTTTCGATTAGCGCCATCTTTTGCTGATGTTCCAAAGCATATTTTAATTTATAAATAATTTAAAAGATATAAAAATAACGTTTTATTAAGTTAAAATATTAAAAACTAAACTAATAAATACAATTTTTTTAAATGTGTCTCTCTTGCTTTTTTAATAATTGTTGAATTTCTTCTAAAGTTTTTCCTCGAGTTTCTGGTACAATAAAATAACAAACAACAACACCAATAAAACAACAAATCGAAAAAAATGCGAAAGGAACATACAATCCAAATCCACTAATTAATAAATGAAATAGCTTTGTTGTAACCATAAGTAATAAAGCGAAAATTACATTCATTGTACTCGAAGTGTGACCTCGCATATTTGTAGGAAATAATTCACCAACTAAAAGAACAGGAACCAATCCTAGTCCGATTGAAAAGACGATAACGTAAGCTACGAGGCCGACTATTGGAAACCAAGTAAAAGAGGACATCTCGGTTGTAGTTTCTCTTTGAAGGTAAAAATAAATTGCTTCTGCAAGAAGAGTAACACCAGATCCTAAACAAGAAATGACCATGGAACGATTTCTTCCAATTTTCTCGATAAACATTGGTGCAGAGATGCTTGCAATAGCTAAGATTGCGTTAAAAATCATCGCTGAGTGACCTTCGTTAATATCTTGAGTCGCTTCTTTGAATATGTATTGATTATAAACCGAGAAAGCCGCTATTCCACTAAACATTTGAATAATTCGTGTTAAAACAACTATAATAAGCGCTTTTCTATTACTATTCTCCAAAAATAAATCTTTATATTTCCCTGGATCTGAAAATTGTCTTCTTACATCCGCTGTTATTTGATCTAATTCTTCGGAAACATCGTCCAGTCCTCTTAACCATTTTAACGATTTTTCGGCTGAGACCAAATCATCTTTCATTACGTAAAAATAGGGAGTGTCAGGTGCAAAAATGAAACAAGCAAAAAAAATTACTGGTGCCATACTTAAAATGTATGCAGTCGTTGGAATTGTGCAATAATATCCAATACCATTAACAACAAACTGTCCGAGAAAAACTGAAATCATCATTGCGTTGCCCCATGTTCCTCTAATACTAGGACTTGCGACTTCCGCTATATAAATTGGTAAACTTCCAAACATAAAAACATCAGATAATCCGAAAAAAACTCGTGATAAATAAAACATCCAAATCGTTTTCGCGCTTGCTATCAATGCTAAAGAAATTATATGAAACCCTGCGATTGATAGTAATGTTTTTTTACGTCCAAATTTATCCAAGAGTACTCCAAAAAATGGACTGAAAATTATCGTTACAATCGGCGGGATTACTGATAAATAAGAGGCATCTGTTAACGTTATGTTGTCATAATCTGATATTAATTTTGGAATCGCTGGTGATGGCCAATTGAACAGCATTGCACAACTAAACGAAGACATGGCAGCTGAAAAGAAAAACTTGTATCAATTTGTAAATTAGTTTATAAAACAATAACGTTTTAATTGTTATTAATTAAATGGAAATTAGATGCATATAAGTAGAAAACCGCAACCATCAAGGTTGTTTAAGAATATTCAGGGTCGGATTTGAATATAAAAACTGTTTGATTATCTTAATGTATTATTTATTTTATAACTTATTTAGCAGCTACTTATCAAAACCAAAAATGGTAGTATAACTGTGGTCAAATTTATGTAGTTCTCCAAAACAATGTCAAATGTGAAAGATATGAAGAGTTATAAGTTATAAGTACGAAGGCATTCACGGTCGGTGTTAAAGACCTGTTTCTAAAAATCCTCCAATTGATATCAGAAAAAAGAAGGACGAGGTGGAAATGGCCAACAATTGATATCAAAAATCTAAAAAAATCCTATAATACAAACAGCTCCGATTAGAAATTAAGACTGTAGTTAGGCCAGAAATAATAAACTAAAGGCTTTACAAATCGCAGACTATATGGAAAAGATATTTCAACCTAATGCAGAAAACGCTGGATACCGGCCTATTATCATATATCAATGATGAGGAAAGCAGAGTAATACCACTCGCCTCTACAGCAGAAAGCATAAAGAAAATCAAGTCCAATACTGAGAAAAAAGCTCCTGGTTTCGACCATAACCGGCCGAATCCTGAATGAGCTTCCAAGAAAAGTAATTAAAGTAACTAACCTGGTTACTGCTTCATTCTGACTATAGTATGTGCCGCAGCTGTGGAAAGTCGCTGAAGTGTTATGATCCCTAACTAAACGGGGGAAGTCACCTCATAATCGGCTAATATAATGCTGATAATGTCCAAATTGTTACTTAAAAGGTTATCATCGAAAAAAACATATCATTTCAGATCATCAATTGAGTTCAGAAATCAACATCCCACAAAAGATGAGATCCACAGTTTTATGAAGTATATTATGAAATATATTTGTATGAAGGTAGATGGTCTTCACTGGAATGGAATTTGTAAATGACACCCAATAAATTACATGTAGGTGGCAGAATAGTACTGATGTTGTAGGAATACCAATTGAAGTGCTTCAATTTATATGGGTAGTTATTTTACCTCTATATCACTTTTGGATAACGGGCCGGAGCTATAAGAAAGAAAGGTAAGTGAAATCAGTGAAAGACAAAACAGATTATTTGAAATCAGATAACTGGGATATGATTCTTATGTTTTGTGCGTTTTTAACCGTTTGCAACCAATTTTTATCGCATCTTCAGAAATGATGAAAATTTTTCACTTTCTGGATTTTAATTTTTCTTCTGTGTTCCCAAAGTATCATATATCATATCTAGTATGGTACATATCTCGTTAATTTCAGTGATTTAGATTGCTAAAGTATTAGTTGAAAACAAGTTCCTTACCGGTTCTTACTAAAAAGTATCAAAGGTAAAACAAAAAAGTTAATCCGACTCTGTTTCCTCTACTTAAATTAAATTAGCAGTTAAATACGAACGTTTCTATATTTCTACATGTCATTAACCTCAATGGATTATCTTTAATTGCCCATTAAGATAAATAATATAAAATGCTTAACTTACCGGATGATATTGCATAAATTTGTCTCCATTTCTTCATTGGCGGTTTATGAATATCCCCACCGCCCGTATCTAAATTAAAATCCTCCTCGGTTTTATCCATTTTTTTAGAGTTCTATAATCGTCGATGGTTGGAATGGTACTGTGTTGACATTCTTAACTTACCAGTTGGGTTTCTCAACGAACTAAGTGGTGGAATTGTTGCAATTTCCACTCTAATTGAGTTTGAATTCGTGATCGCATTTATTCAACAATTCTTTCAAGGCTATTTCAGGTGTCGTTAATGAAATCATTTAAATAACTCGATTAAAGAAATTAATTTACATAAAGGAGAGAAAGGTAGGTTATGAACAATAAGTGTTTTTATTCTTTTTATTAGACTGGTTTATTTACATTTTTCACACCGCTTAATATTTCTTGAATTTCTTCCAATGTTTTTCCTTTCGTTTCCGGAACGTATAAATAAGATAAGATAATACTTAAATAAGAAAATATTGCGAACATTCCGAACGAAGCGAATAAACCACAATTTGTGGTGAGTAATTGAAACACTTTTGTCGTTATTGTTATGTAAATGCAATAGATTATTGTTAAAATTCCGGTTGCTTTACCTCTGATGCTCGTTGAAAACATTTCGCTTAAAAGTAACATGGGTGTTAAACCCATTCCAAGACAAAATACAATAACGTACAAAATCATCCCTGCGATTGGAAACCAAGAAATATTAGTTAAATTTAAAGATGTTTCTTGTTTTAAATAAAAATAAACTGATTCAGCTGTTAAACAAAGAGCACAGCCGGTTGATGATATAACCATCGATTTTTTTCTTCCCAATTTATCGCAAATTATTGAGCCAAAAAATGCAAAAATAGTAAGACTTGCTGTGTAAATTATTGATGAAATTCCACGATCCATTTCAGGCATACCTTCCTGAAAAATTAATTGCGTATAAACCGCAAAAGCAGAAATTCCAGACATTTGTTGTATTCCCCTAGCTAAAGTGACTAATAAAACGGCTTTTCTATTAGTTTTATTACTAAAACAATCTTTAAAAGATGTTTTTGCTGAAATTAATTTTTGAACATCATCAGAAATTCGATTTAATTCTTCTGAAACGTTATCACTTCTTCTTAGTTGCTTCAAAGATTTTTCAGCTTGTTCTTTTTTACCTTTCATTAAATAGAAATAAGGCGTTTCGGGCATTGTTAAAAACAACGCCAAGAATGAAATCGGAATAGTTACAAGAATATAAGCAGCTATTTTCATATCAAAATAATAACCAATTGTATTCATTATTAATTGTCCTAGAAAAATTCCAAATCCCATTGCATTTCCCCAAGTTCCTCTTACTTTAGGAGTTGTTATTTCCGCTATGTAAACGGGTAAAACACCAAACATAGCCGCATCTGCTATTCCAAAAAAAATTCTTGAAAGATAAAAAATGTAAATGTCCTCTCCTAACATTATGCATATCCAAGAACAAATATGGCAAACTCCTATGGCTAAAAGTGGATATTTTCTGCCGTAATTTTCGGTTAATATTGAACAGAACGGGCTGACTAGAATGGTTACTATCGGTGGTATAACTGTTAAATATGATGCTAAATCTATGTTGATGTTTGGAAATTCGTTTGAAATTAAAATTGGGATTGTCGGTGATGTCCAAGTGAATAATATTGATGCACTTAATGATGAAATTGCAGCTAAAAATGGAAATTTTATAAGTTTATAAATTAGTTTAAGTTAAATCGACAGACCTGAACATACAGCTAAAATTTGAAACCATTCTTTTGTTGAATTTTGATCCAGACAGTTTTTATCTTGAAAAGATTCCCCCTCATTAAGTTTTAAACCACAATCTTCATTGTATCTTTTATTATGTTCATCGTTCGTATTCTTATCTTTATCATTTCCTTCAAATTTTCTGTTATTATTCATTTTTTTTTAAATTTATTAACTTCTCGTGTTTACGATCATTAAGAAACTGGAATATGATATCTTAAACTTCTAGTTGAACATAACAATGTTGGCAATACTCAATTAATAAATATTAAAACTTATTGCATAACAAGTCTTTTACAAATAATTTACATTTACAGTGCGTTTTCAAGGATGATTTGAACGACTTGCGTATGTGATAAAAAGGGTTGTTAACTTTAATAATAGTTATGAAATAATTATTATTAATTATATAAGTATTAATATGATTTCATTTTTATTAAATTTGTGTAATTACTACTAATATTGTAGTGGTATCTTCAAGTACTTACGTTTTATTGCTTATTGATTAAACTGATTGAGATATTTTAGAACATTGTGTCACTTTGTCAGTAAAACTGTTAAAAAATACTGTATTATAAAATCTACACTTATCATGGTTAATTTTCCAAATGAGATAACGAATTCGTTAGTTCTTTTAATAACAACGTTTAAAAAAGCTGCGGTCATAACGATGTTTTGTCGAGAGATTATGTTGCTATCTCTTCTGTAAACGCAACGTATGATTTATTTGCAGCTTTTATGTCAGAAATGAGTTGACGGAAATTATTAAATCTTTTTTTTAATGCATTCCATTAGTGTATATAAAATTTATTTAAATATATTTTTCATGATATGAATTGAAATAATAAACGCTTTAAAAGAAAATATATTTTGCTTAAAAGTTCATAGTTGCACTCCAATTTAGTGTTGCTTTTCTCAAATTTTACTTTGTGACTTATAAATTGTGAACTTATACGAAAATTTAAAAAAAAGTAGCTTAATTGTATATTAATTAAGTTAATTAAGTCTGCATCTTCAAAAACTGTACCAAGATTAAAAAGTAACCTTATGAATTACATAAATTATTATTTCCACAATTTTGGATTGGGGCCAAATTGAAATTAAAATCCATGTTGGGGAAAATAATTGTTATTACATTGAACTAAGATAAAATACGCTGATGAAAGACTTTCTAAATAGCCGCAGACGCATTAAGAGTTTTTGTTTTAGCACATATACAGCAGTTTCTTCATAGTGTGCATTCTCCATATTTGAAATATTCTCTTGTGTATTTATATAGAATATAGGATATGTAGAAATACCTACCATAATTTTGTTTTAGTGTTAGGTATTGTTTTAAAATATTCACAAGTAAACATAATTAATTAAAAAAATGCTTTGAACAGGTTTTTTTTCTGCGCTCTATTGATTGTTTGTTCAATTGATTGAACATATTGGGTTGAATGGGAGATACATAGCGAATGGGAGTATCTTATTTTTTCAACAACTACTTGAAAAGAAAGCTACTACGGCATTCTTTAAAACGGTAGAAGGGTTTTTAACGGTCCTTAAGATGTCGTGGAGACTAAAATGCAAAAAGGTGAAATGGTCACAAAATATCACAACAAAATATCGAAAGCTATATATTAGTTAAAATAAAAATAGGTCAAGTACTAACCGTCAAGATCAATTGTTCAGGTGATATATAAAATTGTAATTGAAATTTTACGATTAATTTGCAGCTATTATAAAACAACTATTATTTGTAAAATTGCTACCTATAACAAAAACGTCTGAAGTATTTTGCATATTCCTTCGGAACCAGATAAAATACACAGAAAATGAGTCAATATTATTGCCTAGCTTGCAAAGATGAATTTGTGTCAGAAAAACGTGGTAAGTAATAAGTCACATTACTTGACTTAATTTTCAGTATAAATATTAACTAAAACGACAATGACTCGCATTACATTATTTCTTCTATTGTTTGACAAATATAAATAAAATAAAAAATAAATTAACTTAAAGCAGTATTTGATTATTACTTTCAAAATGATATTACTATCTGTTGCGAAATTCACTTTTATTGTGTAATTTTCCAAAGTAGAGATTTTAATGTATTCTTCTAATACAAAGCAATATAATGCTGCAGCGTTAATATGTATCATAGACTAAATTGGGTTTTTATAACTGAGTTTTCGGCGAGAGATTAAACTTTTCGCTATCATATCTCACTCGCAAACAACGATGACTGGTAAATATTTTGAAAGACGTATGTATATAACTGAGATTAAGAACTTAGAATGGAGCAATATTTCTTCGGATTTCTATGATAACACATAGAATTATTTTGTTAATTTAGTTATATAATTTATTTAAAATTTATTAAGTAATAATAAGATGGTTGAGGTGATTTGTGAGAAAATTGATGAAAAAAAGTCATCGAAAGATGTTTCAAAAGCGAAAGATTTTCCTCAAGTTCGTGCCATGATGACTGGTAAATAAAAATATAATATAAAAAAAAACAATTTTTTTGATTTATTTATATTTTTAGCTGCTATTGCGATGGTAAGCGCTGGTACATTATTCACGTGGCCTTCACCATCAGTTCCAAAACTACAAGAAGCACCTTATAATTTTACCATTGAAGAACTTTCATATTTAACGGTCATCCCGCCTATAGCCATGGTAATTTTCAGTCCAATTTATTGTTGGTTATTGGATAACTTCAGTAGAAAATATACTTTGTTTTCAAGTGGATTTTTTCACATAGCATCGTGGATTTTAATTTATTTCGCCGATGATATTTGGATATTTTACGGTTCAAGATTTGTATGTGGTATAGCAGATGCTTGTTGTTTCGCTTCAATGCCCGCCTACATAGCGGAAGTAGCAACACCGCGCATCCGAGGACTTTACGGAAACGCTATGATGGTTCTTATGTTTATTGGACAATTTTTAATTAATTGCATCGGTTATTACACCAGTATTAAAACAACGGCTTTATGTATGATGGTGTTTCCGATTACGTTTCTTTTCTTATTCGCATCGATGCCGGAATCGCCATATTTTTGTATTATGAAAGGCCGAGAAGAAGACGCAAGAAAAAGTCTTCAACGTTTGCGAGGAATTGAAAACGTGGATGTAGAATATGAACAAATTTTTAAAGATGTTTCTAGGCAAATGACGGAAACAACTCGATACGTTGATTTATGGTCAATAAAAAGTAATAGGAAAGCTGTTATTATTGCAAATCTTGCAAGGGCTTTTCAACAATTCAGTGGGATTTCTGCTTTAATGGTTTATTCTCAATACATTTTTAATTTAAGTGGTGGGAATATTTCCGGTGGGCATGCAGCTATGTTATTTAACGGAATTTTAGCATTCATTAATTTATTTGCTAACGTAATTAGTGATGGATTGGGTAGAAAAAAATCAATGATTTTTTCTTGTATTGGATGTGGATTGGGGTTATTAGGAGAATCGATTTATTTCTATTTTAACGAATACACAAATGTCGATACAGAAGTAGCATCTTGGTTTCCAGTTGTCGGATTGATTATTTACATCATTATTTTTACGTTTGGATTGGGGATTGTGCCAACATTACTTCTTGGAGAATTATTCAATACAAGTATAAGAGGAAAAGCTGCTTTGGTTACAAATTGTTTATTTGCGATTCAACTTTGTGGTATAAGCAAATTGTTTCAAATTTTAATGACAGGCTTTGGATTAACGGTGCCGTTCTTTTTCTTTACCGTTTGCTGTTTTCTCGGAGGGATTGCTTCGTATTTTGTTATACCGGAGACGAAAGGAAAAACTTTAGAGCAAATCCAGCAAATGTTAAAGTAGATGATTTTATGTTTCTTTATTGTGATTGTAATTTCTTCTGTGATCCTTTATTGTAATTTTTTTTTAAGTTTAAAAGTACACAGAAAATGAGTCAATATTATTACCTAGTTTGCAAAGATGAATTTGTGTCAGAAAAACGTGGTAAGTAATAAGTCACATTACTTGACTTAATTCTCAGTATAAATATTAACTAAAACGACAATGACTCGCATTACATTATTTCTTCTATTGTTTGACAAATATAAATGAAATAAAAAATAAATTAACTTAAAGCACTATTTGATTATTATTTTTAAAATGATATTACTATCTGTTATGAAATTCACTTTTATTGTGTAATTTTCCAAAGTAGAGATTTTAATGTATTCGTCTAAAACAATGCAATATAATGCGGCAGCGTTAATCTATCATAGACTAAATTGGGTTTTTATAACTGAGTTTTCGACGAGAGATTAAACTTTTCGCTATCATATCTGACTCGCAAACAACGATGACTGATAAATATTTTGAAAGACGAGTGTATATAACTGAGATTAAGAACTTAGAATAGAGCAATATTTCTTCGGATTTCTATGATAACACATAGAACTATTTTGTTAATTTAGTTATATAATTTATTTAAAATTTATTAAGTAATAATAAGATGGATGAGGTGATTTGTGAGAAAATTGATGAAAAAAAGTCATCGAATGATGTTTCAAAAGCGAAAGATTTTCCTCAAATTCGTGCCATGATGACTGGTAAATAAAAATATAAGTAATAAAAATTTTTTTGATTTATTTATATTTTTAGCTGCTATTACTATGTTAAGCGCTGGTACATTATTCACGTGGACTTCACCATCAGTTCCAAAACTACAACAAGCACCTTATAACTTTACCATTGAAGAACTTTCATATTTAACGGTCATCCCGCCTATAGCCATGGTAATTTTCAGCCCAATTTATTGTTGGTTATTGGATAACTTCAGTAGAAAATATACTTTATTTTCAAGTGGATTTTTCCACATAGCATCGTGGATTTTAATTTATTTCGCCGATAATATTTGGATATTTTACGCTTCAAGATTTGTATGTGGTATAGCAGATGCTTGTTGTTTCGCTTCAATGCCCGCCTACATAGCGGAAGTAGCAAGACCACGAATCCGAGGACTTTACGGAAACGCTATGATGGTTCTTATGTTTATTGGACAATTTTTAGTTAATTGCATCGGTTATTACACCAGTATTAAAACAACGGCTTTATGTATGATGGTGTTTCCGATTACGTTTCTTTTCTTATTCGCATCGCTGCCGGAATCGCCATATTTTTGTGTTATGAAAGGCCGAGAAGAAGACGCAAGAAAAAGTCTTCAACGTTTACGAGGAATTGAAAACGTGGATGCGGAATATGAACAAATTTTTAAAGATGTTTCCAGGCAAATGACAGAAACAACTCGATACGTTGATTTATGGTCAATAAAAAGTAATAGGAAAGCTATTATTATTGCAAATCTTGCAAGGGCTATTCAACAATTCAGTGGGATTTTTGCTTTAATGCTTTATTCTCAATACATTTTTAATTTAAGTGGTGGGAATATTTCCGGTGGGCATGCAGCTATGTTATTTAACGGAATTTTAGCTTTCATTAATTTATTTGCTAACGTTATTAGTGATGGATTGGGTAGAAAAAAATCAATGATTTTTTCTTGCATTGGATGTGGATTGGTGTTATTAGGAGAATCGATTTATTTCTATTTTCACGAATACACAAATGTCGATACAGAAGTAGCATCTTGGTTTCCAGTTGTCGGATTGATTATTTATATCATTATTTTTACGTTTGGATTAGGGATTGTGCCAACATTACTTCTTGGAGAATTATTCAATACAAGTATAAGAGGAAAAGCTGCTTTGGTTACAAATTGTTTCTTTGCGATTCAACTTTGTGGTGTAAGCAAATTGTTTCAAATTTTAATGACAGGCTTCGGATTAACGGTACCGTTCTTTTTCTTCACCGTTTGTTGTTTTCTCGGAGGGATTGTTTCGTATTTTGTTATACCGGAGACGAAAGGAAAAACTTTGGAGCAAATCCAGCAAATGTTAAAGTAGATGATTTTATGTATCTTTATTGTGATTTTATAGTAATTTGTTTTTAAGTTTTAAAAGTATTATTTATATTTTTATAAAATAAAAAACAGAAAAAAGTTTTAGTTCCTAATCCTACATAATTTGGTGATGATGTTATTTTTTTTGTGCCTCAAAATGCTTAAGCATCATCAGCCAGAAAGTTTTATACGTTTAAAAATTATTCCAAGAATTAAAAAAATGGTGAAATTAAGTGATGAAATTTTTATTCTTGGACTTGGCGATAACAACAACAATTTATAGTATTTATTCAGTTAAACAAATAGGAACATACATGAATTGATGTACACTGTGTTTACTTAATAGTAATAAAAAAAGTAATGAATCTTGTGAAACAATTACTATTGTTAATAATTTTTTCGTGAGAAAGCACAATCTTTAGTGAATTTTAATAATTAACAAATAAATAAAAGAAATATATCACATAAATGTTTTAAACTCCTTACAAACATCTTAATCAGATCCTTTAAGCATTTGTTGAATTTCCTCCAAAGTTTTTCCAGTGGTATCCGGAACCATAAAATAACAAGCGATTGCCCCTAATAACGTACAAATTGCATAAATCGTAAAAGGAACGAACAAGCTAAAATTTGTCATCAATATTTGAAAGATCTTCGGGAAGACCATTAAATACATCGCAAATATCATATTTGAAATAGTCATAGCTTTCTTTTTGATGCTTGCGGAAAATATTTCACCTAATATTAAATTAGGTATTGGACTTAATCCGATTGCTGCTAAACAAACGTAAACCACCAAACCAAGAACTGGAAACCAACTTATTGAAGAAACGTCAATGCTTGTGTGTAAGTCGAGAAAAAAATAAATTGATTCGCTTAATAAAGCTAACCCACAACCGATTGATGAATAAACCATAGCCATTTTCTTTCCTAATTTAGTTGTGAAAAATCTTGAATAAAAATTAGTAACTGTTAAAAAAGCTGTAAAAATCATAGTAGCTACTCCACTTGAAATATCACCACCGGCTTGTTGAAAAAGATGTTGAGCATACACCGCAAAGGTCCCCATTCCAGAAACTTGTTGAACCATCCTGGTTATATTGGCTATATAAATCGCTTTTCGATTACTTTTTGTCATAAAAAGATCTTTAAAGGTACCCGATTCGGATAATTGTCTTTCCATGTCTTTCTTTAATTGTTCTAATTCCGGATCGACGTTTTCGATTCGTCTCAAAAAGTTTAAAGATTTTCTTGCCCCCTGATAATCTTTCTTCATAATATAATAATATGGAGATTCTGGCATGAAAATGAAAGTCACCAAGAATAATATCGGTAAACTGAGCATTGTGCAAGCTGTTAATTGGATATCCACGTAATATCCCACACAGTTTATTATAAATTGTCCTCCAAAAATCATAATCATTAAAATATTTCCAAAACCGTCTCTAACGTTTGGTACAGATACTTCGGCTATGTAAACAGGTAAAACGGAAAAATAACAAGCGTCTGCTATTCCAGAAAATACTTTTGTTATATAAATACAAATTAAATTTTTTGAAAATATTAAAAGAAGCCAGGCGACTATTAAAGCGACACCAGCGTGTAGTAAGGATTGTTTTCTTCCAACAACATCCATTAATTTACTATAAATTGGTGAAAATATAAACATTGCTATTGGTTCAATCAATGGAATGTAAGAAGCTTGTTCTATACTTAAACCATAATCGGGTTCAAGAAGTTTGGGAATTGATGGTGAAGCCCATGCAAATTGTGTTGCACCAGCCATAATCGAAAGAGCAGCTAAAAATAAACAATTTTATTATTTCAGTCATGTATTATGTTAAATTGTGCAATATTTCTAAATTTATTTTGTTTGTCAAAAATTCCTTTTAATAATTTCATTTAATTTAAATAATGTTACGTGATTAATTACCTGTAGTACAAGCTACATATTGTGGCCATTGTTTTGGTTTATCAACTTCTTGTATTTTTAATTCACCAACAATCATATTTAAAGAATTACTAAACTACGCTGAAAAGCCATACAGTTGAACTGAGGTTGGTGTATTTTTGGCAACAGATATCTTTAGACGTTACAAAACGCAAAACGTCTTATTCTACTATCTACAGATAAAACATTTTTTATTTAACATCTGTTTTTCATGTTATTCATAAATAAAGTGATCCAATAAACTACTCAAGTCGCAGAGTTTATTACATAACATGAGATTAATTAATTTTTTTATACTTCTAATTATTTAGTGTTAAAAAAAGTTTTAGATAATGAATGTTTAAGAATATGTTTTAGAATATGCTTTTTAAAGTATTTTAAGACAAATTTTTGTATTTGTTGCGTTAGAAATATTATTATCAATTTTGCTACGTTTTAAACATTTAAACAATTCCCATTGTTTCCTTTCTTTTATTTTTATCTCTGGTCGAATTTTTTTATTATTATGAACGCTTTCTGGAAAAATCGTTAAAGCGGGTTCATTTAATATTTCCCGCCATATTTAAAGAAATTATGACGTCATTATTGTTTCTTTCAAGGACCAACTTTTATCTTTTACAAATTATGTGGTTTGTTTAGGTGCTATATTATAGAGTTATGATGAATTTCGTGGTATATCAGTGCAAATATGTATATAATATGTTCTCAAGGAAGAAAACAATAAATCATAATTGGCTGCTATGTACAGAAAATTTAATAAATGAACTGAAAATACCGTGTGCGAGAAGCCCTAAAGGAAACCCGAAATGGAAAAGCAGCAGGCGAAGATAACAACCATCAGAAGAAACTAGAAAAAGAGGGAACTAAAGAGAGGGGCTTGGAATACTGAAAAATACTCCAAAATTGGAGGAAGAACATAACCGTGCCAATTCATAAAAAGGGAGAAACGTTGAAAATTACAGGGAACCAGTTTCTGATACAGATAGATGACTTGATGAAAAGCAAACGGCATATAAATCACATATGTATAAATCTTCTGAGCCATAATAGAGAATACAGTTTTCCGAAATAAGGATATATACCATTAGTAGCCTTCCTATATCAAATAGTAGTTGTTGACCTTGTACTGGGACAACATAAGTATATGGTATGCATTAAAACAAGTTAAAAATCAAACAAGACCCACGAGATTGCGAACTCAGATCTGCACGCAATATTTTGTATACGCAGCCGATGTTCTACTAATTTGACGCAAAGAAATATCCAAATGTGTAAAATCCGCCTACAGGAGTATGGACTGACAATACCCAGGAAGAGATTAAATAGAAGTAGAAATAGTTGGTCAACGACTAATGTTACTAGAAAAATAGGAATATTTGGAAACCATGATTAATAAACAAGGCAAGATAAATCAAGACAGCAACAGAGTAGCAAAAGAAAGCCAGTCTAGCCTATTACCATATAAATAATACGCTGGCATGTATGAACGAACTAAGTACTAAAGCAAAATTACATCTATATAAAACCATCTATCAGACAGTATCGAAAATAGGAGCAGCAGAGATGAAGTATCTGCAAAAAATAGCAGGAAAACCAGAAGAGAAAGAGAGAGTACGAAACAAGAGCGTCAAAAAAACGAAACTTAAGAGCTCTAGTAGAAGAGGTAGAAGAGAAACAACAGAAATGGTATGGCCACTTGGTTCCAATGGATAAGGAAACAATACCAAAGAAAATGTTTAATATGAAACCAGAAGGAAAAGGAAAACAGGGTAGACCAAAAATCCAGTGGGAACAAATAATAGAGGAAGTTGCGTTCAGAAATCTTTCACACAATCTGACTTGTCTTTACAGATTTGTTATAAATAGTTGCATAGAAAGGAAAAACTTTGGAACAAATCCAACAAATGTTGAAGTAGATGATTATGTGTTTCTTAATTGTGATTTTTTTAAAGTTTTAAAATATTTATATTTTTATAAAATAAAAAAATATTAAAAAAGTTTTAGTTTCTAATTCTACACAATTTGCTGATGTTAATATTTGTGTTATTTTTGTTGTAGCTAGAAAGTTGAATAAGTCTAAACATTATTCCAAGGATTAAAAAAATGGTGAAATCAAGTGACGGAATTTTTATTCTTGAACTTGGTGATAACAACAAAAATTTATAATATTTATTTAGTTAAACAAATAGGAACATACATGAATTGATGTACACAGTGTTTACTTAATTGCGATAAAAATGAGAATGAAAATTGTGGAACAATTACTATTGTTAATAATTCTTTTGTGAGAAAGTACAATCTTTATTGAATTTTAATAATTAAAAAATAAATAAATACATCACATAAATGCTTTAAACTCCTTACAAACAATTTTAATCAGATCCTTTAAGCATTTGTTGAATTTCCTCCAAAGTTTTTCCAGTGGTATCAGGAACCATAAAATAACACGCAATTGCCCCTAATAATGTACAAACTGCATAAATCGTAAAAGGAACGAACAAGCTAAAATTTGTCATCAATAATTGAAAAATCTTTGGGAAAGCCATTAAATATATGGCAAATATCATATTTGAAATAGTCATAGCTTTCTTTTTTATGCTTGCGGAAAATATTTCACCTAATATTACATTTGGTATTGGACCTAATCCGATTGCTGTTAAACAAACGTAAACAACTAAACCAAGAACTGGAAACCAACTTATTGAAGAAACGTCAATGCTTGTGTGTAAATCGAGAAAAAAATATATTGATTCGCTTAATAGGGCTAACCCACAACCGATTGAGGAATAAACCATGGCCATTTTCTTTCCTAATTTAGTTGTAAAAAATCTTGAATAAAAATTACTAACTGTTAAAAAAGCTGTAAAAATCATAGTAGCTACTCCACTTGAAATTTCACCACCGGCTTGTTGAAAAATAAGTTGAGCATACATAGCAAAAGTCCCCAATCCAGAAACTTGTTGAACCATCCTAGTTATATTGGCAATGTAAACCGCTTTTCGATTACTTTTTATCATAAAAAGATCTTTAAAAGTGCCCGATTCGGATAATTGTCTTTCGATATCTCTTTTTAATTGTTCTAATTCCGGGTCGACGTTTTCGATTCTTCTCAAAAATTTTAAAGATTTTCTTGCCCCCTGATAATCCTTCTTCATAATACAATAATATGGAGATTCTGGCATAAAAATGAAAGTCACCATGAATAATATAGGCAAACTGAGCATTATGCAAGCTGTTAGTTGGATATCCGCGTAATATCCCACACAGTTTATTATAAATTGTCCTCCAAAAAGCATAACCATTAAAATATTTGCAAAACCATCTCTAACGTTTGGTACAGATACTTCGGCTATGTAAACGGGTAAAATGGAAAGATAACAAGCGTCTGCTATTCCAGAAAATACTTTTGTTATATAAATACAAATTAAATTTTTTGAAAATATTAGAAAGAGCCAGGCGAGTATTAAAGCAACACCGGTGTGTAGTAAAGATTGTTTTCTTCCAACAACATCCATTAATTTACTATAAATTGGTGAAAATATAAACATTGCTATTGGTTCAATTAATGGAATGTAAGAAGCTTGTTCTATACTTAACCCATACTCGGGTTCGAGAAGTTTAGGAATTGATGGTGAGGCCCATGAAAATTGTGTTGCACCAGCCGTAATCGAAAGAGCAGCTAAAAATAAACAATTTTATTATTTCAGTAATGATTATGTTAAATTGTGCAATATTTTTAAATTAATCTTGTTTGCTAAAAATTTCTTTTAATAAATATTAAATGAAATTTAATTCAAATAATGTTAACTAATAAATTACCTGCTGTACAAGCTACATATTGTGGCCATTGTTTGGGTGTATCAACGTCTTGTATTTTTAATTCACCAACAATCATATTTAAAAAATTACTAAACTATGCTCAAAAGGCATACAGTTGAACTGAGGTTGGTGTATTTTTGGCAACAGATATCTTTAGACGTTATAAAACGAAAAACGTCTTATTCTACTATCTAGAGATAAAACATTTTTTATAGTGTCATTTTTATTTATTACTATAACAGTGAGTTCCATAATTGGAAAATTCCTTTGAATCATTAGTAAATCATTGGCATTTTTTAAAAATAATTTTGATTGTCTGATCGAATTAAAAAGAAAAAAAAAGAAATATTTTGCTTAACCCATAACAGGGAACGTGTTTTCTAACCATTAATAACTGGTTTGTGAAATTAAACTATCGTAGCCGTAAATCTGAGAGTTTATTGCCGAAACTGTCGAGACGTTATTTATAACCGGTGATTTGAATCTGTGATCAATGGGCATTTTCCAAAAGGGCTTTAAATTACGCCTACCATCATGTATATGTATGTGTTCAATCTCGATACTCAAAAAAACCTATAGTATTTGTACGAGGCCGTAAATACTAAAGTTATTGCTTTTAAACATTGAAAAATCCTATTTTATTGATGAGTATAATTTAAAAAAGGAATAACGTATTTTATGAGCTAGCCCAGAATGATTTTAGAAATCAATCCCATTGGAAACTCGGAATAGAATAAGTAATGGTGAAATTCTAGCAAAAATTGAAAAATAAATCGAAAATCAATGCACGCCATGGGAAAAAGCATCCCCTAAGTCTATTTAGCTGCCACCTTTCGTGATCCCTAAAAGGTGCTTCGTCCGCTTCATTCACACCGTTGTCCAATTGCTGACGCGTATAGGAGACGAAAAGAACCTTTTCTTAGGACACTTGACCGGCTGACCCTTTCAGGATGTCTTTGAATCAAAATGGTCCTTAATGGGTTTCGTATTGTGACCGTTAAATTTCTTTGCCAACCCAGAGAGGATTGCGTTATGACACGCGAACTGTGCAAAAAATCCCAAGAGGAAAATACGAATTTTCTAAAAGGTTTTATTGCTACCTTTTAGAGATTGATTCCTTCCGAAAATAAAACTTTATTTCCAAGAACGAAAATAGATAGTATTGTATCTATTCAAAAAAGGTACAACAAAAGAAAGTTTTCCTTCAAAAAATACTTATTTATAAATTTCAAGTAAATATAATGTTGCGTTAGCGTAAACAAGGGAATTCAATCAAAAAATAATCAGAGAACGGTTGTAAATCAGTAGTATCGACGATGAATACTCAATTAGGGGTCGTATTTTAGGTGGTTTCGAGAGGATGCTCTTCGCCTCGAGCCCCGAATATCGCAATCCCATCGTAAATTCCTATTATCTCCGGGCGATTCCGCTTAAGCGCTTATCAATTCGCACGAATTGAGCGAAGGATCGGGTGGAAGTATCGCGATATTCGTAAATAAACGTGAGACGTTGAGTAACGGGTCCTTCAAGATTAACGCGCATTTTGCATAAGCTTTCGAACGGTCGTAAAAAACACAGCGGTTCTTTTACGATAATGTTTTCGGGACCTGACTTGATTTCTTTTTAGTCTTGAATTTATTCATGTTCTGCGTTTAATTTCGATAATGTAATGATGTGTGATTTAAAAACATTTTATTTAAAATAATCAGATAGAGAGAATTTTAATATAGACTTTTTGCAGTATAAGTTCAGAATTCAACAGTAATAATAATACAATAACTGTATGTAGGTGTAATAAATTTTTTATTTAGTTGCAATATTAATGTAGTAAAGTAGCCAAAGCAATAATTTTACCAATAAAATATTTACGCAAAGTGCTGCAGTGTGGAATAATAACATTTTAATGGACCAGTATAATATTTTATGTCAATGTGAACCTGAAAATATGTCATGTATTTTAATAGATCAGATAGAGATATCACATCTGTAGTTTGCATCGTACATTATGATCTAACCAAATCTTAATTAAAACTTTTACGGTTAAACACTAGTTGTTCGTTTAAAGGCTTTCCAGTCATTCGATCTCTACCTAACATAGCTAAAAGTAATTTACGTTAAATTATGTTTTTGAATAACCGGTTTATTTTTACCAGGTACATCCATATTATTGTAAGTAACACTACCTATTTTGTCACAATATCGAGCCAAAACTTTTATATTGTCAATTGTAGCGTAACACTTAACATCCTCCCATGTATAAGAAGAATGGGTTGAATTATATTGGATACCAGAATAATCTATAAAATTTAAATTAAAAATAATTTATTAATATAATTAAACTAAATCAAATGGTACTTACCATTTTGTTGGCAATCAAAAAATGGTGGTTGAATAAGTTCAGTTTCGACAACACAGAAATAATTATTCCTAATATTTATGAATACTGAATCATTCTCAAATTCAGCGTATGATAAAATAACAAAAACAAGTAAGAAGAAACTGTATCGAATCATTTTATCAGACTGATGATTGAAACCCAAATTTCCTTTTATATTTCAAGTTTAGAGCCAAGGCTTCTCTAATTTTAAAGAATAATTAATACGAAATGACGTCACAAATATAAATCATTTTTTATAAAATGTGGTGTCACGGCTTTAAATTTACCAGTTTATGTTAATCAATTAGTTACTTTAAATGTCAATATTACCATATTAAGAAAATAGATATTATTACAAAATATTTATATTAAAAATGATATCAAGTTAACGTGCTTGATTATTTATTTTTTGACGAAACTGATTACTTATTAATCTACGTTATTACCAGGAAAACACAACATGTGATGTAATTTCCCAATTTAATTAAATAATGATAAAAGTATAATTTATTTGAAAAGATTTTTCATATTTTAACCATACACTTGCAATTCTTTTAATACGTTTCCATATCGATCTGTTCCATACTTTGCTGAAATTAATGATATAAATTAATGCACAACAAAACATGACCTTTTATCAAAAATGGTTCATACCTGGAGCATTCATCACACTAATACTAACATGACTTTGATAGTTCCAACAAGATCGAGCGGACCTTTTTATATCCTTAATGGTCGCTGTGCATAAAAAATTTTTTTCTCTAAACCATGAATGAGTGGAATTAAAACCAGTATAACCCGCTAAAAAAAAACGTATAAATATGTTAAAAGCTATGGTATCAAACATTTACCATGTTCTATACAATGAAAATTTGGTGGTTGAATTTTATTGAACCCAACTTTACAATACAAGGTTGAATTAATAGGAATATGAACATCGTTTTGAACTTTATCACATCTTATTACCGATAACAGCAAGAAAACCAAACTGTACCGAATCATTTTAAAGACTAAGCTACACTTGACTAAATGACACTTTTTATAACCTCAGGTGTCAAGGTTTATAAAAAAATTAATAAAATTTTTTTCATTAGCATTTTAAATTTAAAAGATTCCAGTTATTTTAATTAAATACGTTCTCAGATGTTATAAGATTTTATTTCGTAGTCTTTATTGGGTTATTGTTACAAGGTACAGACATCAGATGAATAATTTCACGCGAAATCTTCTTGATACAAAACTCTGGTTGATATTAAATCTTGAATCAATATGTAGTGAAATGTTAATGATGTAGTGATTCGAATATATTCTTAAAATAATCTTACCATTCACAGTAATGATGTGGATGAACAATATTGGTGATAATTTTCGTAAATTCTTTACACATGATGCAGCAAAAAATACAAACTATAATGCAATATTTTAACAACTAACAATAAAATAATAATCAAGTAATCAACAATTTTCACGTTAAAGAAATTAGTACGTACTAAGTCAGTATAACTGCAATTTTATTTTATAGTTTGTATATTAATTAAATACGTCACCAGTTTTTACACGTTCACCGTTTCGCTGATTACTAGCTAAAATATTATGGAAAAACATATTATTCAGCATAACTTTGTAAATTTTTTAATTACAAGCAGTAACGACTCCAGCTGAACCATAAGAATTTCCATTAATACAATAAGTGTTCTTTTTTATATTTCCTATTGTAGCAACACATTTCCGGTTGTTTTCAATAAACCAAGAATGAGTAGAATTAAACTTCGAGCTGATGTCATGATCTGAATTCAAACATATTAATAAAAATTTAAAGTTATATAATGTATACGGAGTGAGAAAGAGAGAATGGAAAATTTCAGAACTGACTCGAAATACGATAATTTAATGCTACAGCCTTCTATACATCTTGCTGATTTGTAGATCGAGAGACCTTTGCGGACGTGATCGTTAACCTTCGATAGCGGAGATGGCACAAATAGAAGAAGAAATGGCAGTTTTTTAAATCTTTCTTTATTCGTGCATGTATCCAGCAGATGCACTACTTCAACAAAGTCTCAGTAAACATTCAATTTTATAATTTTTATGAAAAAATGCAAGAAGATACAGCTCCAAGGCGATGAAAAACTTGTATAAATTGTGTTTTTGAAATATATAAATATCGAAAAAAAGTTTTATTTATAAAAAGTCTCTCTTATAGCAGGATCTGTTTTGCTCCATTCATGTCTTATGCTCGTTTTCAACTCATTTCAATATATCATGGGGTGTTCTTAAATTTGTTTCATCCTATATTCGATGGGATTGAGTCCTGGTGACTAGGGTTCTGTAATTGATGGGAAACATATTATAACAGCCACAAGCAATCAATTTCTGCGGATCCAATCTTGTTGGAACATAAATGTTCTAACAATCCCAACATTTCTAAGGCTTTCCAATAAACAGTTTTGTAAAATATCAAGATAATATTCTTTAATCATTATACCACCTATAAACACCATATTTCCTGCACCAACAGATGACATATACCATCAACCGAATAACGTGTGAAACACAACGTGTGATGTAATTTCCTAATTTATTTAAATAATGACCAAAATATAATTTATTTCAAAAGATTTTTCATATTTTAACCATACACTTGCCCTCCTTTTAATGCATTTTCATATTGATCTGGTCCATGCCTTGCTGAAATTAATGTTATAATATTAATGCACAACACAACATGACCTTTTATCAAAAATGGTTTATACCTGGAGCATTCATCACACTAATAGCATCATGACCTGGATAGTTCCAACAAAATTGAGCGAATCTTTTTATATCCTTAATGGTTGCTGTGCATTAAAAAATTTTTTGAAACTATGAATGAATGGAATTAAAACCATTGTAACCCTCTAAAAAAATAAATAAATATGTTAAAGGATATGATATCAAACATTTATTATGTTCTCTACATACAATGAAAATTTGGTGATTGAATTTTATTGAACCCAACGTTACAAGACAAGTTTGAATTAATACGAATATGAACATCGTTTTGAACTTTATCACATCTTATTATCGATAACAGAAAGAAAACCAAACTGTAACGAATCATTTTAAAGACTAAGCAAAACTTGACTAAATGATACTTTTTATAACCTCTGTTAAACGTGTCAAGGTTTATAAAAAAAATTAATAATTTTTTTTTCACCATTTTAAATTTAAAAGATTACAGTTATTTTAATTAAATACGTTCTCATATGTTATAAGATTTTATTTCATAGTCTTTATTGGGTTACTTCTACAAGGTACAGACATCAGGTGAATAATTTCGCGCGAAATCTTCTTGATACAAAACTCTGGTTGACATTAAATCTTGAATCAATATGTACTGAAATGTTAATGATGTAGTGGTTGGAATATATTCTTAAAATAATCTTACCATTCACAGTAATGATGTGGATTAACAATATTGGTAACAATTTTCGTAAATCCTTTACACATGATGCAGCAAGAAATACAAACTATAACGCAATATTTTAACAACTAACAATAAAATAGTAAAGTAATCAATAATTTTGACGTTAAAGAAATTATTACGTACTACGTTAGTGTAAGTGCAATTTTATTTTATAGTTTGTATATTAATTAAATATGTCACCAGATTTTAGAGGTTCACCGCTTCGCTGATTATTACCATACATAGCTAAAATATTATAGAAAAATATATCACTCAGTATAACTTTGTAAATTTTTTTAATTACAAGGAGTAATGACTCCATTATATCCTCCAGCTGAACCATAAAAATATCTATTACGACAAAATATGTTCAGCTTTTTTATATTTTCTATTGTAGCAACACATTTCCGGTTGTTTTCAATAAACCAAGAATGAGTAGAATTAAACTTCGAGCTGATGTCATGATCTGAATTCAAACATATTAATAAAAATTAAAAGTTATATAATGTATACGAAGTGAGACAGAAAGAATGGAAAATTTCAGAACTGACTCGAAATACGGTAATTTAATCTGTAGCCTTCTTTACATCTTGCTGATTTATAAGTAAGTAAAAAAGTGGTAGTCTGCTAAACTCTTCCTTATTCGTGCATGTATCCAGATATTAAATTTTATCATCTTTATGAACAAATGTAATCTGGTGACTACGGAGGGTACTGTAATTAGATGGGGAACATAATATAACAGCCATAAGCGATCAATTTCTAATTTTCTAGCAACATTTCTAACGCTTGCCAATAAACAGTTTTGTAAAACATCAAGATAATATTCTTTAATCTTTATACCACCTATAAACACCATGTTTCCTGCACCAGCAGATGACATATACCATCAACAACATAACGCTGCTACCTCCGTATTATACTGTTGGATACAAATTTTCTTTTTTGAAGGCTTCATTACGTTTTCGCCAAACGCGGTTTATACTTAAAGTTGTCAACAAAACAACTTATATTAGCTTTGAGCAGATTTACATTTGTCCAAAAGATGCAGGCAGGTCACCTGTTTGAAAATCAAGCAGGAAAAGTTCTGGAAGTTCTTCCATTTTTTTCTTCTCATTCTATATAATATTACCGTTCTTATCACAACAGAAAATAGGGGATTCACGATCTTTTTGGCTCAAAAAGCAAGTTGTTTCAGAATCAATCTCTATTTGTATATATTCTTGCAAAGACGTTAAAGTTATTAACGCTGGAAAAATGCACAAGAAGAAACCGTACTGAATCATTGTAACGACTAATTATAAGAAGATGGAAATCCTGCTTTTCAAAGAAGATTTTCAAGGCAGTCTGGTTAATTTTGATATTTAATCATCTTGTTATTGAGTAATTTATAAAAATTATACTATATTTATTTGCGTACCGATTTACATATTTCTTTGTTTTTACCTGTTATCTGTGTCAAGGCTCTTCCATTTAGAGGATCTTCGTAATCATGTGATGCAATTTCCCAATTTTATTAAATATAACCAAAATATAATTTATTTCAAACAATTTTTCAATTTTTAACCGTACACTTGTCCTTCTTTTAATCCGTTTCCATATTGATCTGTTCCATCCTATTAATGCACAACAAAACATGACCTTTTATCAAAAATGGTTCATACCTGGAGCATTCATCACACTAACACCAACATGACCTGGATACTTCCAACAAAATTGAGCGAATCTTTTTATATCCTTAATGGTTGCTGCTGAAATTTTTTTTTAATAAACCAGGAATGAGTGGAATTAAAACCGGTGTAACAATACAAGTTTGAATTAATACGAATATGAACATCGTTTTGAACTTTATCACATCTTATTATCGATAACAGCAAGAAAACCAAACTGTAACGAATCATTTTAAAGACTAAGCAACACTTGACTAAATGATACTTTTTATAACGTCTTTAAACGTGTCAAGGTTTATAAAAAAAATTGATAATTTATTTTATATTAGCATTTTAAATTTAAAAGATTACAGTTATTTCAATTAAATACGTTCTCAGGTGTTATAAGCTTTTATTTCATAATCTTTATTGGGTTATTTTTACAAAGTACAGTCATCAGGTGAATAATTTGGCGCGAAATCTTCTTGATACCAAACTTTGCGTAGTTTCTTATACTTGTAAAGGAGAACAAGAATGGGGGACATTAAATCTTGAATTAATATGTACTAAAATGATAGTGATATACTGGTTGAATATATTCTTAAAATAATCTTACCATTCCCAGTAGTGATGTAGATTAACAATATTGGTGAAAATTTTCGTAAATTAGTTACACATTATGCAGCAAGAAATACAAACTATAATGCAATATTTCAACAACTAACAATAAAATAATAAACAATTAACCAACAATTTTCACGTGAAAGAAATTATTACGTACTAAGTTAGTATAAGTGCAATTTTATTTTATAGTTTGTATATTAATGAAATACGTCACCAGATTTTATAGGTTCACCGGTTCGCTGATTATTACCATTCATAGCTAAAATGTTATGGAAAAACATATCATTCAGTATAACTTTGTAAATTTTTTTAATTACATGCTGTAATGACTCCATTATATCCGAAACCTGAACCAGAATATTGTTTTTTACGACAAAATATATTTAACTTTTTTATATTTTCTATTGCAGCAACACATTTCTGGTTGTTTTCAATAAACCAAGAATGAGTAGAATTAAACTTCGAGCTGTTGTCACGATCTTAATTCAAACATATTAATAAAAATTAAATATTATATGGAATGAGACAGAAAGAATGGAAAATTTCAGAACTGACTCGAAATACGATAATTTAATCCTGCAGCCTTCTATACATCATGCTGGTTGTAAGTAAGTAAGTAATAGTCTTCTAAACCCTTCCTTATTCATGCATGTATCCAGCAGATACACTACTTCAACAAAGTCTCCATAAACATTCAATTTTATAATCTTTATGAACAAATGCAAGAAGATAATGCAGCAAGGTGTTTTTGAAATATATAAAGATCGAAAAACAAAATTTATTTAGTTCTAGAAGTTCTTCCATTCTTTTCTGCTCATTCTATATAGTATTACCGTTCTTATCACAACAGAAACTAAGGGATTCACGATCTTTTTGGCCCAAAAGGCAACTTGTTTGAAAATCAATCTCTATTTGTATATACTCTTGCAAAGACGTTAAAGTTATTAACGCTGGCAAAATGCACAAGAAGAAACCGTACTGAATCATTGTAACAACTAATTATAAGAAGATGAAAATCCTGCTTTTCAGAGATGATTTTCAAGGCAGTCTGATTAATTTTATTATTTAATAATCTTGTTATTGAGTAATTTATTAAAATTACACAATTATTTTCACACTGATTTACATATTTCTTTGTTTTTACCTACTATCCTAGTCAAGGCCCTTCAAATTAGAGAATCTTCGTAAAGACTCGATGAAAAAAATCGAAGAGGTGGTTCTGGTGTGTGTTTTAAGTAGACTTGACTTCGCGTCATTGTTTTTTGTGTTTAAAACCACAACGCAAATGATGAGATTTTAGATCATGTATTAGTATTATAAAGATAGATCCTTATAATTGTTGCATTTATTGATTCCCATGCTATGCATGAGAATATATAAAACCTGATTGGCTCTTTTCTCCTTTGGAACACCACTGTAGAAATGATCGTAAATTCTCCAATTTCCCTTTATCCCTTTTATGTAATTTTTCGATTTTTTGTTATAATAAAAAAAATGTAAGTTCATGGATTTCTACGAGGTTCAAAAAAAAAGAAGCTGTTTGTGATATAAAAATAGGCTATTTTATTTATATTTTGTATTCTGGCAAGTGGCAATACATTTTAAATTATGTTCTCTGTACTAAGATTAATTCCTAAAACAAAATTGGCGAAATAATAAAAAACATGATATGTACGATGTGTACATACATAGGGGTTAATTATTAAATGTGTCACTAGATTTAAGAGGTTGTCCAGTTTGTCGATTATTACCATTTTTAGCTAAAATATTATAAAAAACAGATTATTCAGAAAAACTTTGTTATTTTGTTTTTAATTACAAGGAGTAACTACGTTATGAAATTCTCCAGGTGAACTAAAATAAAAACGTTTATCACGACAAAACACGTTCTTCTTTATATTTTCTATTGTAGCTACACATTTCCGATTGTTTTCAATAAACCAAGAGTGAGTAGAATTAAACTTTAAGCTGATATTATCTTATTTTATATAAAAAAAATTTAAATTAGAAATTTTATAAATATGCAAAGTAAGTCAGAAAGAATGCGAAATTCCAGAACAAAATAAGACAATTCATCCCTAATACCAATTTTGTTGAATTTGGAGACACACGCTATCCCAAATTGATTTCCTTCTACTATCTCTAGTTCTGATTTTTCAATTTTTTTCTGACTAACTCTATGTTACCGTTCTCGCCACAATTAAAAATTGGGGATTTACGATCCTTTTCCCCCAAAAAGCAAACTGTATTAGAATCAATCTCTATTTTTACATATTCTTCCGAATACGTCAACAAAGCTGTTAAAATGCACAAGAAGAAACCGGACCGAATCATTGTAACAACTAGTTATGGGAAGATGAAGATGTTGTTTTTCTTAGATGATTTTCAAGGCTGTTTTGTTGGCTTAATATTTCAATCTTTGTTATCGTGTTATTTATAGAAATGAGAAAATCTTTTTTATACTGATTTAAATCTTGAAAAATTCCAGCAATATATCTTTGTTTTTACATAAATCTATTTAATTGTAGATCCTCAACAAAATTTCCGAGTACTAAGAAATGTTGTTATTTTAATGAAAAACTTTTCTTTATGAAAATTAACATTCTATCAATGTTTCAGCAAAATATACCATTTTCAAACAAAACAATTCGGTTTAAGATTTTAGGGGGTTGAAATCGAGCAATACATAAATATAACAATAATGTTATACAGTTTCCAAAATTGATTAATAACAGTTTGTTGTTAATATTAATTGTATTTTGTTTTTTATTTATGCCTGTATCAAATTTTATTAGTTTCCTTAACGAACATAGTAAATTGAAAAAAATTTCTTTATATTTTAATCAAATACATTCCCATTTTTTATTGGGTTTCCTTTCTTATCTTTTCCATTTTTTGCTAAAACAAAACAAAAATGTTATAACATAATTTTATTTTTTATTGGGATTATTTTTACCAGGTACAGTCACCCCTTCTATAATACCACGACGAAACCTCTTGGTACAAAACTTTGCGTATTTCTTAATACTTTTAATGGAAGCCGCGCATTTTAAATTATCTTTCGTGTACCAAGAATGAGTAGCATTGAATCCTGAATCAATATATTCTGAAATGGAAATGAAACAGTTGTTGAAATAGTTTGTTCTTAAAATAATCTTACCGCTTTCAAAGCATTTAAAAATTGGTTTTTGAAATTTGTTAACAACACAATAATGATGTGAATCAACGGGTATATTGGTGTAAGTTTTTCTAAATTCGTCACACATAATAAACACAAGTAACGAGAGGTACAAACTAAAGCGTAACATTTTAACGACTAACGTTACCAACTGATTGAATGTTTTTCTTATATGCGTCAAGGTTACTGGTAGTAACTTTCTTTTGTATCTACTTTTTAAGAAATTATTACGTACTACGTTAGTATCAGTGCGATTTTTATAACATAACTCTTTAAATTTAAAAATTTATTATTTTAAGACTCAATTAAATACAATACTAGATTTAAAGGTTTAACGTGGTTGGAGTTCAAACTATATCCGGTCTTTTTATCGCTGTAATTTCTAAACGATTCCGAAAATCGGAAAATAAAGTGATAGATCTTATATGGGCCATCAGACCATAGCAAGAAATCTTCTTTTGATCTTTTCGGCAGTGTTATTATCCGAAGTGAAAAGTGAGCCCAAGTGTACAAATAGCTCTACAGCTTAAAAAAAAATGGCTAAGATATCTTGTTGATGAGTTTATGGCCCACTTTTGTGCACTGCTTTCTCTAGTAGGCAGAAATCTTCTATCATGTTACTTCTTAATCTTGTCAAAAGCCAGAATTTGCCTCCGCATCACGTATTGCATTTTACACCCTCATTGTTTGTTTTTCTTGCAAAATTAGGTGTGAAGGTATTTTAAACTCATGTACGACATACATGAAATCTCCTGAATATGTGACAGCATGGTGATAGTGTCTATGACAATAGAAATCATAGCTATGGTTTTTTTGGCATAAGGATTTAGTCTTTCGCATAGGATAATAGATAATATCTTGTAAGACGAATTCAACAGAATTATTGTTCTGTAGTTAGAACACAGGGGTCAATCACCTTTCTTATATAATTTGTGACCTGGATCAGCTTATCGAACCTGGTGCTTTAAGCCGGGTTTATACAGACGATTTAGCTGTAAATTTAAATTTAAAAATTTAGCTGTAAGAGTTAAATCTATTGAAACCTCATTTCTTGAGGTTGCGATTCTGTAAATCTTAAATTCTGTATAAATCAATTTTTTTCTTAAAGCTAAATAAAATCCTTAAATCTAAATTTTTAAATTTAAATTTACAGCTAAATTCTGTATAAACCCGGCATTATTGTTTTATAGTTTGTTTATTGCTGCCATCATTATATATCGGCAGTTCTTGTTCTCTGCCGTCTGATGAGTTCGGCAAAAACGCTCCGTTCTTCTTGTTTCGTTCCCAGTTTTTTAATGGTAAACCATCAATCTTTCCAGTATTTCGCCTTGCTCCGTCGGAATTCATCACCTTTGACCGTGCAGATTATTATCCTATGCTTAAATCCACTCCTGTAACTATTTAGATTTTGGTAGAATTTCCTCATATTCTTAGTTTCTCTAATTCCAACAATACACCGCTTATGGTCTATCTCTCTTCTTCCCTCTTACGTGCTCTGTTCTCCTCCTCCATTCGTCGGATTTTACGCTACTGCAATTTTCTATAGACTTGATTCTTTCTTTTCACTGTTTTTTTTAAATCCTTGATGTTAGCTTAATCTTGACCTTAGACAATTTTGAAGACTGTTTAGTCAATTTTAATATTCCAATAACCTTGATTTTAAATAATTTATAGGAATTAGGAAATGATTTTTATACCATTAAATTACCGTTAACCGTTAATACTACGTAATGAAATCTTGCGTGTTATTGGTATAAATCGTATAAAATATTCAAGTATCTACGTCATTCTAAATTACCACCGGTATCTTCGAAATTTCATTCTTAGAAAATAAACAATTTGTTTACGTCAACTCATTTATAGCTTATGTAAGCCTCAGTGTTTATTAACATAATTAACTTCATCCTATCTCATTCAGTATTTGTACGTGGACACAGAAACATTAACAAATTTCATTGTTGTGTGGAAGTATACGAACAATTTTTATCCAGCAAATCGGTAAGATTTTGAAATTTTATACAATAACTTATTAAATAAATACTTTTCTAGGTTACTGAAATGATGAAGACAATAAATCTTGTGCTTCAATTCATGTAGTTGTTGCTCCTTGGTGTTACAATCAATTCTTATTACGTATATTCATATGTAGTAACATCACCATGTAAAATGTAATGTATTCATTAATTCTGTTATAACAACTTCTTTGTTTTAGCAATTTCTGGAACAAATATATCGGGGGGAATCCTGAAATCTAATGATTCATTTACCTGAAATTAATAAAGTGAAGTTCTTTGGATTCAAGTAAATTTCCTCTTGTTGCAACACATTCAGGTTGTAATAGAAAGGTCACAATTATTTCTAAGAAACTAAGAGAATAAACTTAAAGCATTTCTTAGAAAATATATGAGATATAAAATCTGGCTAAATATAAGATGATTCTTTTCTGTTATATTTGTTAACCAGAATTAACGGTATGTAATCGGAGTAACACCAAGGTACACGTATTTACAGATTATTAAAAATTTAAAGCAATAATATAATCTTTTTTTATCCCTCCGCTCAAAAAATGAAAGTGCTAAATAAAAAATAAACCCTCCCAGAACATTTGGGTCAGTGGAAATACGAGTTTGTCCCTACGGCGTAGCCCCTGCGGCTTATCTGACCACACATTAACTTCATGAATATTCAGATAAAATGCAAATGGGTCAAAAAGATGTATGTAACCAGGAAAATGGTCTCCATTTTAAAGTACCCACAAAAAAAAGCTATAAAAATTAACACATTTTTATGACATTTTTAAAAGCTCTAATTCAATTTAACACATTTTTGTTGCTTTTATTAAAAGTATTATTTCATGTACAAATTAATCAAGAAAAATAGATTTCTTACCGTTAACACATTACCCCATAAACACCATCATTTATTAGTTGCCAATTTATAGCAAATATGTTTTTTCTAGTTTGGTGATCACAAAATCACCGAATAAGGTCGTTTTCCAAGCTCGTATCCCAACTAGTAACATATAAATTTCCTAATTAATTATTTACAATCGTGTAAAGCTCGTAGAAAAGCTTTCACGTTTCGGAAAGGATTTGTTGTCATGCTAATCGGGAAGTAAACGAACACGTAATCCTCTAAAATAGGGAAAGAGGGGACACCGTCTTTCCGGCGTTTAAACTGGTTCACACTTTGCCCACCACCCCAAGACAAGTTGATTTTCCTTCAAGCTCGCGTGCGTAAAGCTCACTAAAGCGACAAAGCTGGTCTTGTACACATTTATTTGCATTTAAATAGGCGAGGAAGGGTGACGAAAAGCTTTCAGCTGCAAGATGGAAACTCACATTTTCACGCTTCGTTATTCCATTGAAGCTTGTTTTTCTATTTTAGAAAACTTTTTGTTGCAAGTGGTTATGGATAATTTATAAGCAACGTTGTTTTCAAATAATACGTAACAATTAAAACTGTTCACTCTAATTAGTATGTTTTTAGTTCGCGTAAATTGGATAAATAATTTCTAGGTGTCACAATGGACTGTAATCGAGTACGAGCCGTTTTTCAAAATTAGCGTAAAGCTCGTGTTTTTGTAGAGAGCCCGGGACTATTGAATAAATAATTAATGGTGGCTGTTAATTTAACGGTATTGAATTTCGTACCGGTTTTAAAATCGTGCACCTCGGATTTGGTGGTTTTGTATTTCACGCTAATTTTTTTATCCCCTTTGTTTTCTACCTTAATTTTTAAACAATAAAATTCCTTAGTTATTTTCAGGCGAAATTTAATAAAATATTTGTATATTATAAAAGTATTGTATTGGTAAAAGATATAATAAGTTAAAGTTAATAAGTTTAGTTAAAGGTTTCGTTATTTTTAAGAAGCTTTCCTTTAAGACTGGTCCCGCTCAATGCTAAAATAAAAAAATCATTAAATATTCAAACTTAATAAAATCATCACTAGCACTAGAACTTACACTAGATCTAGAACTAGAAACATTCGGATTTAGCCGTCTTAAGAGTCGTACGGCTGAACCCTAATGTTTCTTATTCTAGGTTTAGTGTTAGTTCTAATGCTAGTGTTAGATCTAGTTTTAATTGTTATTCAGTGATAGATTGTTTTAGTTCAATAAAAATATAGAACAACTAAAACTAGAACTAACACTACACTTAGAACTAGAAAGTTTCTTCAGACTAATGAGGTTGGTTAAATCGAACTTTTTGTGTACATTACTTAATCTTATCAATATTAATCTTAAATTTTCTTACAAGGTGCTGTCACTACAGATGGTTGTACTGTATAACAATTGAGAGCTGCCTTTATTACATTATCAATTAGAGCATCACATTGAGCAATGCTATTTATATGGAATGACACGTGCGTTTCATTATATGAATCCTCTTGGTAGTCTACGACAAAAAAAATAGTTTAATTGTATATATTTACTTAAATTCGTAAATTAACAATAACTCATTACCAGTTTTGTGACAATCAAACTCCGGTCCGCTTATATATTTAAGTGGTACATAACAGTGTTGATTATCTGCCACCAAAACTTCCCATGTTATTAAAGGCCGCTCAAAGGATATACTTGAAAACATAACAATTAAGAAACTTAATCTAAAACCGGCAAGCATTTTATAACACATCCGTCTCTATGTATGCACGAAATGAAAATAGCATGTAAATCAATATTTAATGCTTTTTATAATGACTTACGTAATATGTTTACAAATATGATTTTTTATTTATGTGAAAATGGAAATTTATTCAAAACCGCAAAATCGACTTTTACAATGTTTTTGCATATATTGCCCTACCTAAATCTTTCTTTTCATGACCACTTTACAGTTTTAGTAGATAGTTTCGGACCAATGGTGTTAATTCTTACAAATCATTGCATTTCTTCTTTTTTGCAGCCTCATCTGTGTATTCTTAATAAATAATAAATACATCTTTGTAGAAACGAAAAGTAACCTTCATGTGATATATAAGTTTATTTAAAAATTAATTCTAAGCTTGATTTAAAATAAAAGAATATTAAAGTTTAAATATTTAATTGCTTTTATTCATTTATTTATAACAATATTTATTACCTACAAAAATCTTCTCCTTACAATCTTCTTTAATTAAATGTGTCTTTTGGCTCGAGAGGTTTTCCATCTTTTCTATTAAGACCTGCTCTGGCTAAAGTATTGATTAAACAAGATAATATAAATTAAATATTTTTACTTACGCGGAACAACAATTGTGGTTGGATATAATTTGTGACAAGTGTTTTTAGCTAATTCCTTTATTTTTTCAATAGAAGCAACACATTTTAACGATCCTTCAGTAAACCAAGCATGAGTGGAATTAAACATATCATTTGATTCATCTAATTCATAAAAACTTTTCATTGCCAAAAACGAATTTTTCGAAAACTTAAATACTTTACCATCTATAACACATTGGAAATTAGAAGGTCCGATGGCATCAGAAGGAATAAGACATGATGTATGTTGGTCAATGTAAATTGTAAGGCCATCGGTAAATTTAAAAGTTTGAATCAAAATGCTTAATAAAACTGCTGAGATAATAAAACGTGACATCGTGGTGTTGTGAGATGAACTGCTCGATCTTGTGGTTAAGGTGGGAATGATCGTGAAATAAAACTAAAACTGGTTCTCCTTCGCCTAACAGATTTAATTATGATTATATTGACCTTAGTTTATTAGAAGTATATTCACTGAAGAATCATTCGTTTATTTTAAAATAAAAAATACAATCGTTTTAATTGTTTTATTACAGAATACTTTAACTGAATGTATCTTGTTGACTTACAGGATTTCCTTTTTTATCTGTACCATATTTAGCTAAAATAATACATATGGGTTTAAAGGTAGCGATTACATTATTTTTGATACTTACATGGAATTGTAACTGCTGCCGTAGAATGCTCTGTTTCACAATTATTGTCATTCATTTCGATAATAGTATCGATTCTTGCAATACATTTTCTACTACCATATACCATCCATGAATGAGTTGAATTCAAACCATTTTCAGCGTAATCTAAATAATAGTATTTGATTCTATTTCGTTTAAAGATATCATCTATACGATACCATCATTTGGATTACAAATAACATTTGGTGGGATCATGTCTAATTGACTAACAAAACATAATTTATCTTTTGCTATAAAAAAATATTCAGAACTACATATTGAAAAATATTGCATGAAATTAATGGCAATAATTATGACTAAACCCTTGAAAATCATTATAACGACTGAGTTAACGGGTGAAGAAATCCGGTATTTATAGCCAAGGTTATACCACAAAATAATCAGAAATGACACTAACGTCGATTCATTTGATCTTGGCGGCACTTCGCTTTGTGACCTCGATTTAAAATCCGGAATCTTATCGCGAATTAACAAAGGCACAGAATAAGCAGAAGTGACACTGGTGGTATCCTGCCAAATCTTTACCACCAATAGCAGCATACCTTGGCAACTCGCTATAATATGGCGACAGTTTTGGCGGGATACCGCCAATGTCACTTCAAATCATTAAGCTAAATGAGTTTGAAAACGCATCATAATCAATCCCAGAGAAGGGTTTCTTAAAGGTGGAGAACAACAAAGATATTTCTATGTTATTAGATGTTTATAGACGAATTGCAAGGAAATGTCCTCCTTTTTAAACACAGAAATGGTTCGTGGCAACTTCCATCTCTCAGGGAATTGAGAATCGTTTATATGATAATAAAACCTCTCATAATAACAATTTTTTATTTGTTAAAAGCTGACTGGATGAAAAACGATCAAAAATCTCTTGGGACACCTTTAACTTGTCCGAGAGACGCGATAAAAATCCGTTTGACATTTTACAAAGGCGCTTACTTTTAAAATGTTAAAGACAACATATGTTTAATGGATCTATGCTTACTGAACAAATATAAAGCTGATTTTCTTTTCGATAACGTTATTTGTAATTTGCCGATTATTACCTAACAGATGTAATTACGATTATTATTGGATTTATTTTTAAACAAAAAATACAAACGTTTTCGGTTTTTATTACAAAATATTTTAATTAAATGTATCTTCTTTGTCTAAGGAATTTCCGTTTTTATCTGTGCGGTATTTAGATAAAATAAGACATATCGTTTTATAGATTTTTTTATTTATGTGAAAATGGAAATTAATTCAAAACCGCAGAATCGGTTTTTACAGTGTTTTTGCATATAATTGTTTCCATGTAACCATCTTTTGCATAAACATTGCCCTACCTAAATCTTTCTTTTCAAGATCACTTTGCAGTTTTAGTAGAAAGGAAAAGTAACCTTCATATGACATATAAGTTTATTTAAAAATTAATTCTAAGCTTGATTTAAAATTAAAGAATATTAAAGTTTAAGGATTTAATTGCATTTATTCATTTAATTATAACAATATTTAATTACCTATATACAAAAACATTCCCCTTTAATCTTCTTTAATTAAATGTGTCTTTTGGATCGAGAGGGTTCCCATCTTTTCTATTAACACCTGCTTTGGCTAAAGTATTCATTAAACAAGATAACATAAATTAAATATTTATAAACTTTAGAAGACGCAGTTTTCGAAAAAATGTTGTTTGATACACGACAGCGAAATTCTTTTGCATTCTCGAACGATTTTATTGCTCGCTAAAGCTCATAAAAAAACTCAAGTTCTCGAATGCAAAAGTGTCATTTCGCTATCTTGTATCAAAAATAACTATTTACTTACGTGGAACAACAATTGAGGTTCCTTTTTGGTTCTTGGTTGATTCTTTTATTTTTTCATTGGAAGCAACATTTTTTAACGATCCTTCAGTAAACCAAGCATGAGCAGAATTAAACATAGCATTTGATTCATATAATTCATAAAAACTTTTTATTGCAAAACGAATCTTTCACTTCAAATAAAATAAAACTTGAATACTTTACCATTGATAACACATTTGAAATTAGAAGGTCCGATGGCTTGAGAAGGAATAAGACATGGTGTATGTTGGTCTATGTAAATTGTAAGGCCATAAGCAACTTTAAAAGTTTGAATCAAAATATTTAATAAAACTGCTGAGATAATAAAACGTGGCATCGTGGTGTTGGTCGATGATGTGGTTAAGGTGGGAATGATCGTGAAGTAAAAGTAAAGCTGGTTTTCCTTCGCCTAACCGATTTAATATGACTATATAGACCTCAGTTTATAGTAGTATTCACTGAAGACTTTGCGTTTATTTTTAAATAAAAAGTACAAATGTTTTTTTTATTACAGAATACTTTAACCGAATGTATCTTCTTTACTTAGAGGTTTCCCTCTTTCATCTCTACCATATTTAGCTAAAATAATATATATGAGTTTAAACGTAGTGATTACGTTATTTTTGATACTTACATGGAACTCCAATTGCTGTAGAATGCTCTGTTTCGCAATTGTTGTCACTAATTTCCTTAATAGTATCGATTCTTGCAATACATTTTCTACTACCATACACCATCCATGAATGAGTAGAATTCAAACCATTTTTAGCGTAATCTAAATAATAGTATTTGATTCTATTTCGTTTAAAGATCTCATCAATACGATACCATCATTTGGTTTACAAATAACATTTGGTGGAATCATGTCTGATTGACTAACAAAACATAGTCTATCTTTTTCTATGTAAAAATATTCAGAACTACATAACGGAAAATATTGTACGAAATTAATCGCAATAATTACGACTAAACTCTTGAAAATCATTATAACGACTGAATTAATATGTGAAGAATCCGCTATTTATAGCCAAGGTTATATCATAACTATAACGTGAATATTTTGGATGGTGAAAGTTCAATGTTTATAAAGAAAAAAACAAGCCAATAAATACAATAAAAATTTTATTTGATTCAATAAATTTATTTATAAATTAAATATACCGTTTTTGTTTAATAGCAAAAACACCACATAACTCTTCATAAACGAGATTGTACAAATCTTGTGATGAATACAACACACTCAACCTTCTCGCATAGCAAATAACATGCATACCGTTATAGTTTCATGTGATTTATGTTATAAATAAGAACCAAACAAGTCTAGGTTTACACCAAACAAGTTTAAGTTATTCTTCGTCTTTTCAGTTTGTATAATTGTGTGTTTGTTGTTCGATAAAAATAATATTGGTGTTTAAACAAAGTAGAAATTAAAATGTGTCGGCTGCAAAAAACATCGTTGACTTCGCATCAGAAACACTGAACCGGTGTACGTAATATTATAATGCCAAGAGTAGCAGACGAACCTATGTCCTTCACATCAATATGTCATCTTCTGGAATTTGTAAATCCGCGTAGCGATAATTTTTCTAATGATGACTTGATTGAAGATCATTACGCTCCTAATCATGAAGAACCTTCCTCATCTAGTTCAAAAAACTTCCTGTGGTACCTCCGCTAGTTAGCATATTCCGCAACAAAGTAATCTACGTACTTGGTAAAAGAAGAGAAAACTTAGCGAAATCTACAACACGTTAAAACGGTAAGATGATATCTGACCGAAAAATGAAGGAGTTTTTGGCGTGTAGGATGAAATGTATTTTAGGAACTTATATCATTGAAAGATGGACAAGGTGTATTCAAACGAATGTTGGAGATTGGAGCCATGTGCCAAAAAATACAAGATAAAGACACTCAAAAAGTACGTACGTTGAGCCCGAATAATCAGAAATTCCAAATGAAAACTTAAATGTACATCTTAATGGTGAACGAGAACCTCTTTGTCAGGGTTGCTTACTTAAGATTTTGAGTGAGAGTGAAAATTTTATAAAAACAATATCTCTAAAGAAAAAAGCATCCATTGGAGACACACAAACCGATGACTTTGGTGGAAAAGCCATACCAAGAAATAAAGTGTCAGACTTTAAACACGAAGAAATTAGATCATTCATTCTGTCATTTCCAGCGTATAATGCAAAAACTGTATACTTACTTTATTTTGATCCTCTTTATCATCCTTTAAATCCTCTTTACACAATAATTTATAGTGAGGAGTTTCATAAGTTGAATTTGTCTTTCAAATTTGTAATTACGACTATTTATCTTAGTTTATTGTAGTATATTATTGGATTTATTTTTAAGCAAAAAATACAAAGTTTTCGGTTTTTTATTACAAAATATTTTAATTGAATGTATCGTTTTTGCCTAAAGGATTTCCTTTTTCATCTGTACCGTATTTTGCTAAAATAAGACATAGCGTTTTATAAGTAATAATTAATTTTGTTTTAAATACTTACGTGGAATATTAACTACTGTAGTATAACTTGGTTCACAATTATTGCTACTCATTTTTATAATATTATCTATTGTTGCAATACATTTTATACTATTATATACCATCCATGAATGTGTTGAATTAAAACCATTTCCAGTGTAATCTAAATAAAAGTATTTAGTTCTATTTTGCTTAAAGATATAATCTTTAATTACCATCTTTTGGCTTACAAATAACATTTGGTGGTTTCATGTTAAGTTGACTAACAAAACATACTCTACCTTTCGCTATATAAAAATATTCAGAATTACATACCGGAACAAGTTGTATGAAATTAATAACAATAAATACGAATAAACCTTTGAAAATCATTATTACGACTGAGTTACCTCATATAGAAATCCGCTATTTATAACCAAGGTTATATAATGTCTATATCGTAAATATTTGGGATGGTAAAGATTTCTATGTTTATAAAGAAAAAATAAGCCATTAATCACAGTAAATAAAACACAAAGATATACTTCATTCAATAAATTTATTTATAAATTAAATATTCGATTTTCGTTATTAAAATAAAACAATAACAAAATATTTTCGTATGTACATTTGCGAGTGAGCGCAAGTGTCAAAAATGCGACACGCACGAAAATATTTATTTACAAATAAGTAATTGCGGCACGTGCGCCTCACACGCAAATTCGAAGTAATAGTTTAATTTTTTTTAATTAAATTGGACTAGTACGGACAAACACTGACTATACGATGTCGTCTGTTTTCGGTGTAACTCACTTTTTTTCTTTCGGTTTATTATTATTATTTTTCATTTTTATTATGAAACTGAAATTAATACCCTGTAAAACTCTTTCGAAATTTGTCTAACCAAAACTACCACTATGAGGATATTTTTTTGCACTCTAATCATATTTTATTAGCCAGGTGATTTTCTCCTCTTTCTAAAATGGGATACAGTATTAATTATTATTATTAATTATCAAGTTTAGATCTATCTCTCTCAGTGTAAAAGTGTGTCTCTTTCGAAATTTAAAAGTTTTCCATAACGTAGTATAAATTTAAATTACTTTATTATAAAAAACTTGTTACCCTACCCACTACAAGTAAGTAGTTTATTTACGATATAGATCTAATTCTTTTTTATAATTTCTTATTTTTTAATTAAGTACGTGATATAATAGATGAGAGATAGAAAAATATGATCGCGTCTCAACAATAGACAGTGTTTGGAACGATTACTTATATACTAAATTTATGTACAAAAATAAATAAGAGGAAGGTATTAACAAAATTTACATTTTCGTCGAGCGGATACAAGAAAGAACTTTGGTTGACGAAATTATATACAAAAAAGAAGCGATATATACTTCATAAACTCGACAATGTGGAATGTTATTGCGAATTACTTGCAAAAATTGTAACGTGAGATAGAGGTGTTATCGGTTACAGAAGATTTATTTTGTAATATACAAAAAGATTTTCATTTTGGACAATCTCATTCAATTGACTTTAAAACTTTTAATGGATGATGTTTTAAACATAAAAAAAATAAAATCAGTTTGTATATTATATTAAAACAAATAACCTAATCTCTATACTATTTACATGATTTCACGTTGATATACGGGTGCAAAAGTGATTGTTAAACCTCCATAAAACGTCTTTATATCTTTTTAAAAGAATATAGTAAGTCAAAATGATACGATTAATAGCTTTTTTACGTGTTTTTGTATCACAAATTCAAGTCCTTCATATCAAATCGATTCCTGTTTCACGTAAGTGCCAAATCTGCACTCAACTGCGACAACCTCCTTGGATCTCGACGACCTCTCCCAGACCCCCTGGTTCCACTAGTATGGTTACTATATCCAGAATCGGATCCAAACGCTGAATCCTGCGAATACGGTTTCGGAACCGGCCGAAACGTGGCCAAATGCCCGAAAACTGGAACGGTTTCATACGGACCCGGAGATGGAGATATGCACTGCAACCTTTGCGTTATACTCGGTATTTGTCTTCTAGTGGGTGGGCCAACACTACCAACTCGAGGATACAATTGCAACAAAGCGTCCAAAAACATTCCCTCGTGAAATTCTTGTCTTCTCCTATCCAAACTTCGATGTCTTTTATTTCCTGGTAAAGGTGGTAACGGTTCTTGTGGTCTTCGATATCTTTGTCCGTCTCTACGCGGATGTTCCGTTCGGTAAACAGGTGGAGGGAGATTTAACCGTCTTTCAGCTTCACCTGCTAAACTCAATTCATCTTCCGCAAATTCATCTTCACTGTGTCCGGCGTGAGGTAATTCACTTTCTGCGTCACTTAATTCTTCATAAACGGGATTGTACAAATCTTGCGATGAGTATGGATCTGGTCCGGGCGATGAACACAAGAAAACCGGCGGATGTTGAGATATTGGATAACCACTGGGGTAGTGAATGTTATTTTTTACGTCATTCATCTGAAAAGATTAAAAAAAATAATTTAATTATTATATTTATAAAGAAGAAATAGTTATAAAATGATAAATATTAATATTATGTTAAATAAAAGTCTTTGTTGATATCTTTGCAAGTGTATAAATGACAAAAATTATGGTAAGGTTCACTAGAATTATTCAATGTTTAATGCACACAAAGAATCTGAAATAAATATACAAAAAGAATGGGAGGCACCAATATACCCACATTAGCAAGAAGAATAATAAAAAAAGTGATCAAGAACAAAATGGGTTTTGTGAGTTCTTCACACCAGCGATGCCTATCTGAGGGACATAAAAACAGACAAGAAAACGTGACAAAATGACACGTAAGGGAAGGGAAAAACAAATATAAATATTGCAGTGGATAAAAGAGATATGATAAGAACTTATTAGGCAAAACTGAACCATGCAAACAAACCGGTCTAAAACATACGTGCCAAAATCTCGAAAATTATGTGATAAAAGCCGCAGGTTATTTAGAATTACTTCCAATAAAGAAACAGAAGTGAACCGATCATGCACCCTCACATAAGGTTCCTTAACGTATATTATATGAGCCAAATTACGTATGTAAAAAAACTCATCAGCTGATCTTATTAAAAATAGAATGATACCTCCAGTTTCAAAAATAGTGAGAAATACAACAAAGTTACACAACTTATAAGAGTTGCTAAAAAAGTTGTAATCGGCTTCATTCAAAAACAAGTACTCGGAAATTCACACCTAAAACAAATGGAATAAAAACTCATTTTTATCTCATCTGTGCTTTTATTGTAATTTGTATTTTGAAGTATCTGCTTTGTAAGAAATACTTGTTGATGTTTGAAGATGACATACAGAATCATGATTTAAATAATACCGAGAAACAGCAAAGTGTGCAGCAACCAAATAGTGATGATGGGCCGCTCCAATGTCTGCTTAGTCAGTTAAACGAAAAATGTTGCTGCTGGTATGCCTGTCATTTGGAAGTATCCAACTGATTTTAGACCGGTATCTGTCGCATGAACACCAGCTACATTAAGATCTCACTTTTAGAAGACGTCAGATCTAATGTCTAAAAGCCAATACAATATTTTGGGCGATATTTAATTGCTGAATTCTTTGCAAAATTACCTTTTTGTGGAAATGTCACTTTTTACGTGTTACATGATTATTCGACAGTTGGGTATGCCAAGAATAAAACAACACTGGGATTTAGAAACAAGATGCAGCTTAGTGATAACTACAATGACTCGTAACCTAATTAGTGCCAGGTAAGCCAAACTTGGAAGAGATAAAAAATTTTGTGGCAGCGAATTCTGACGGATTACCATTAGATTTTTATTTGTATGAAGGTAAAGGGTCATCAATGGAATCGGCGTTGTACCCGACAGTAATAGGTATTTGCCGGTTGATGGATCTCACCCTGAAACATCCCAAGGTCAAGGTTACGATCGTACCGGATGACCTTCATCTTAAGATTAAAGTCAACTATTACTTAGTCAAGATCAGTACCTTGATTTTGATTTTACTCCTTCTCAGTTTGTATTCCCAGCTGATCATTTCACCAGTTTGAGTGTTCCAAATAATCTGTGTCAGTGTTACTTTTTATTAAAATTAAAATTCCTCATTTTGAGGTGAGGGAATTTTGTTTATTGGACACAAATTCCACCTTTGGGCTGACAAGTTACATTTAGATGAAATAATGCTACTGAAAATGAGTTACAGAATTTCATGAACCTGTTTTGTGGTTTAACATCTCTAAACTTAACCTGGTAAATTTAATACGGGTAAGCGCAATTCAATTCAAGTGATATCCAAAAATGGACAACCAAGAGACAAACCTACATTAAAAAGTATTTTAAAAATCGGATGAAAAATATGAAAGGAACACGCAGATTTCGGGATACACGCGTTTAAAATTTCACAAGCGAAAAGTAATTTTTTTATGGCGTACTCGGCGATTTTTTTTACGAAAATGGTATTACGAAAAAATTTGAAATTTGGATGTGTGAAAACCTGATGTGTCCCGAATGCATGTATTTTATATTTTCAGTATTCCATATTTTTTCATTGTTAACGCAGTTTCGATGGAATTATAGGGTGAATTTGAAGCTCAAAATGCTTTTTCAAAATAAAAATTTTCCAATTTTTGTCGAACCAGTGAAAGTTATTAGCACGAAAATATAATTCCATCGACATTGCGTAGATTCAACCATTTTAGAACAATGCTGTACAGCATTGTTATGTGAAGTACTACAAAAAGTTAATTATACTAAATAAAAATTAGAGTTCTTAGTAAATTGATTTGCCAGCAACCTCAAAAATCAGATTTTTTTGTGAATTTTAAAAATCAGAATATTTTAAAAAATAAAATCATAATTATATATTTTTTTTATATCTTTCAATTATGAAAATTGGATGTAACGTATAAGAATCATAAAACACGCCACCAAATCTTCCTTCTCCATTATACTTTTACGGTTTGGGTTGGGTATACGTAAATGACGATATTCGTAAAACACGGAGTGTAAAACATTTACGTTGGTCTTTTAACGGTCGTTTTTACGGCTAAAACTTTTTCCGCTGTTTTTAATTATTGACGATGCCAAAAGTACTAAGCGCAATACATAAATTACTGAGAAACGACAGAAGACGAAAACTCACCTTATTAAAACGCTTTCTCATTTCCTATTTTTTTAAATTTTATGTTTTATCCTCATTTTGGTACTGCGGGAAATTAATATCCAGTTGGTGGTAATAAATACTTAAACGGTTAAATTACGGTATATGGAAACCGAAACGTGTTATTGCCGGGGTGTTTTTACGTCGCTCGAAATCGATACTTCGTTCGGAACTGAATATTTAAAGCACGCAAAAAAATTGTAAATAGTACCGAAACAAAAATAAAAACGTCCGGGTTTTGCTATAAAAAAAAGTATGTTAATATTGTATGGAGCCAATTACGGAAAGCAAACCCAAGCTTTTATAGCGAGAAAGCCACTCTGAAAACGCCCTTTGGGTTCATCCCGTTGACGTATATAAAGCAAAAGTACCCGCCGAAGGATAAGAAACATAGAATACGAGGGTGGTCTTAGTCTTAGCAACGATATGGACATAAAAATATAAAAAAAATAAACCAAAACAAAAAACAGACAAACACGAACAAAATGAACGTACAAAGAAGGTTAAATTTATTAACATGTCAACATCACCACTTTGAAAACACTTCGAAAACAACCCTTAACTTCTGTACAGTATAAGGGGGCGTTAATTTACATTTAGCCCACACAAGAAGAAGCTCTTTAAGTTGCTTATTAACAGTACTATTAGTGAGTTCTTTGTCAAGTCTACGATAAAAATCAACAATCACAAAAGCTTTATAAAACTTTTTAAACTTTACTTTTAATTAATATCCGTTGATCCACAACTCTTCATAACGTTTGAATTAGGTTTAACAAAGAATCTTCTACCTAAATAAAATCAAATAAAAAAACTTTATTAATGGTTATTTTCGCCTCCTAAAGAACGATATTGTCGCGTAATTAAGGTTTATTACGACATCTTTCTCCTTGATCTTTAAGACTCAGCAGTATACGTAAGTACTAAAGGGTTTATTTTAGAAAATGTCCGTATATCGGTAGGTAACTAATTGTGCTAAAGTAACAGTAAACTGTTTTACGACGGCCCTCCATATTTATTTTGAAGACACCGTCGGCGGTTTTAACACGGCGTATAAATGAACACGAACGCTTTTACACACGCCGACCGCTAATTTTAACCAAGCTTCGTTGCTCGCCGTTTGTTTTAATCCTAGTAATAAAATTAATTGCCTAGTTTATTTTGTTGGTGCTCTTCGTCCACAGATCGAAACAAGATCTTTTTATAGAAAAATCACATCATTCTTTCAATCTTGTCGTCCAACAACAATCTCAACATAGAATTAGTTATGAAAGTGTTTATTTATTTTTAATGAGAATAAACAAGTCTAGATTAACTGTAATGCACATAAAATATTAACAAATCACGTCAAAAAAATTCATTCGAAATTCGAAATTTATATTTTATAAGTTTGAATACGAGTTGTAAACATCGTATTAACATTTTCATGTTTGCAAGGTTCACCAAAATTGTCATTATTGACATCGAAACTGTTTGTAAACTGTAATAAAACCTGAATATAGCAATAATTATAAAATATATAGAATACCGTCAATAATATAAAGGTCGAAATCCAAAACAAAATGAAAAATGATGTGTTTTAACATATATATTTATTTTCAAGTCTAAATAGAAATCATACATTTTGCTTTACTAAAGAAGAAATCATCCATAAGTTGCCAGAAAAGCGCCAATGTTGGTGTTTAGATGATGATTTCTTAGTTTCACTTAGGAGAAATACTACGTACAGAAATTGTTATTTGGGAATCAAAAACTATATGGATTTTGCCTATAATTTGTATTTCTGGATTCAATTACACACTTGATTCTTTGTACTCAAATACATTATTACCAGAAAGTTATTGATATACCTTTAGAAATGAAGATAACTTTGGATATTGTGGATACAATGCGATATTACACCAATCCAGAAAGAAGATAGTTCTATGAAGCTATTATTATTATTGCTGCCGGGCTGAGGGGACCGGTCCTCTCGTCACCGCGACCTATAAAATCTATTGTAACTTTAACCCTCCATAAGTTTAGGGCAAATGTAAGTCCTTAATGAACCTTGTATTGCTCCAAGGTCTTGTTCCTTTATGTCAGTAGGTGTCGTATATGTTCAGCCGTTTCTGACTCATCGTTGCAAAGTCGACAAGTTTGGTCCTCAGCATGTCTAATGTGGAAGAGGTGGTATTTTAGGGGCGCATGGCCGGTCAGGAAACCTGGGAGCGTCCTTAGATCCCCTTTGCTGAGGCATAAAAGCTCTTTGGTTTTGTTTTGCCATGGAGTTATCATACTTTTCGCTTGTCTGTGACCTGGAAGTTCTTTCCAGCGCAGCGTAAGATTACCTTTGAGGCTTCCCAACTGTTGATTACTTCTTTTAGGTGGCTTTTCTGTAGTCCACAACCGGGTTTGTCCGCCTTTTCATTGCCCTTAATGTCTCTGTGACCTGCAACCCACCATACAGTATCATCATTGGCCCTAGCAAGTTCTCTCAGATTGCTCAGGTTACACTCTCTGATCAGTGCGGAGTCACACGTGTAGGCCCGACTGCCTGAAAATGTTTATGGATGCACCTTTCTGTACCTTTTGTAGATTTAAAGCGGTGCAGAAGTTTATAGCAAGAACTTCTGCTTGACAAATGGTTATGTCCGAGCGGCGGGGCAATTTAATGCGGGTATTTGGTCTACTAATGCCCATGTCTACTCCGGATCCAACTGTATTTGAAGCAACCGTGTACCAGACAAGGGCTCCTCTTTTAACACTATATGTTTATAATATATGTTTCCATGTGCATCTGGAATGTTTGAAATGCTTTTTTCCGTTAGATAAGTTTGATGCCGTCTAATTCTATAATGGTAAGAGGCAAAGACTATGACTATCATGATCTGTTTGCAAGAAAAACGACTAAAATATCGCCAATATATGAAGCCAAAATATCTACGGAAACCTTAATAGAACCTTAATAACCTTAAGAAAAACGTGAAGAGAAGACACGAACACACGCGATGAATAGATATTTAATTCAGATTCATTTTTTCTTGTTAATATTTTGAGATAATTGATTACAAGATTGTGATTACTTCATAACTGCAACCTATGTTATCCATAATTTTTGTTTTTATGGATCCTATTACATTTTATACTAAAAACACAAGCCACGTCATTGTTTGCCAAATGCACAACGTAATGTAGCATTCCAATGTATCGTTTTCTGTCTTGGTTTATTTTTATTGCGATTTGCTGTTACTGAATGTGTAAGTTTTTATTTTAATTGGCTCGGTCCCAGTTGATTTCTCTGTTAATCCTTTGATTCCGTTTTTATCCTTTTATATGTTTTTATTGTCACTCCTAGCAAGTTGTCAGTTAACTTCATTCCTTCCTGTGCAACCTTGGTTGCCTGACAAACGTATATTTAATTTTACTTAATAACACAATTAACACAACATTCCCATGTCATAAAATAACATACCATTTCTTTCAAGTGCTAATGTTAACTCTTTTGATCATAAACATATTTCGTAAATTGTATTTAATTTTTTTGTATTTAGATCGTAATAGTTCATAATTTAAGAAGATGTCGGCAATGTATCATGGCTTAAGAATAAGGTACTTTTCTCCGAAGTCCGAAGAAGACGATTGACGTAAATGAGTTATTTATTATTTATAATTTAAAACAGACGTTTGTGGAAACTAAAAATTAACTTAATACGAAATTAAATTAACTTATCTTTAAACACTTTTTAAAATGTATGTCCAAATCAGTCCAACTATATAGAACAAATAATTAAAAAATTACAATGTTTTAAAATATTGTATATGTATGTATCCCGTATAGCCGGAAGTGATAAAAACATAGTACTGTTACCAAAATATAGACTTTTTTATTGTATGTCGGGTTTCCAAATATCAAATGAATTCCATTTATGATTTCGCGTAAAACCCAATAACCCTTTTTAGTAGAGTGCCCTGTCTAATTTTAGAAATTAGAACACATTTCATGATAATCATAGTCAAATATCTATTCAGCCTCATTTTTTTTTATTCAGCTAGCTATCTGGCCCATTTACTTCCATCAGTAAACAAGACGGTGTTCAGAAAAGCAATTTCTTTCTAGCTTTGTGCAGTTTTGCAAAATTTAATCTCACGTTTTGGTTCTTTCTCACTTTCTGCAATAATCATCTTTGGCGCACCAATAATGGGATCTGCCTTTATTTTACGTACTAAATATCGCTGATCTGGATCAGTAAAAATTTGGTTCTTTTTTTCACTACTTGGATGTTAATATTGAAGCGTTTATTTAATGATTTTCTAAGTTCAACAGTCGTTTGGCTCCTTTGCCTAAATATTTCGTATAGAATCGGCACGAATAAAAAAAGAAAGTTATTTAGGTATTTCCCCTGATCGATTATCAAGCTTGTATATGTAGTTGGCCAAACTTTTTTTCAGTCGACTTGGGTTAATCAATAATAAGAAAACACGAATCTTTGATCTTGTTCCGAAAATAAATGTTAAAAATCGTTATAATATAAAGAGTTGAAAAACTTTTAATGAACATCTTTTCCCCATTCTCGTTCTACTCCTTGTATCATCTTTTAATTGGTAATAAACAAAAATTATCAACATCTGTCCCTTGACTGTTCTATTTTAACTCATAATATGTGACACTGTAACATGTATAATATATTTTTTATGTGGGTACCTCCGCCGTCGACATCGCGTCGTTGTAGTTCTTCGTTAATTTCAAAGTTCTTTTTTTGTTAAATTTTTTTTAATGTGTAACCGACCCGTCTGTTTGACATTATGTCACCGGCGCATGTGTAGGTGTTTATTTAAAAAAAAAGGCTCCTGGTACGCGTTGTGTCGACGATGGCGACGTCGCGACGCTCTTCTCTCAAAACGCTTTACGCTTCCGTGGATATGCGGGTCTTTCCCTGTGTGTTCTCTGGATGAAGCAAAATGCGCTTTGCGCAGCTGTTCATGTGTAAATATAGGAGGTGTACAGTGGGGGTCGTAAAACCCTCCTCCATTTCTACATAGATTGAGGCTACGTATGTTTCGGTTATCACTTTTCAAAGGGAAACTGTTTACTCTTAATCAAATTGAAGCAAACCTTGTTTACAGTAATTACTTTAATGATTTTCTTTTATGAAAATCTCTTTTGTTATTAATAAAAGATGAGTTAAAAAGAAGAGGTACGTTTAAAGTATGGACAGATTGAAACTTTAAAATTAGAGTACAAGAGGTAAATATTTATCAGTCGGGTGCATTTACATCGGGACGGCATGGCCCTTCGCAACAACGAAAGAAGGACGAGAAAAAGAAAGCAAACAAAAAAATGTAAATTTACCTCGATGGACGAGGCTACGACGTGAGCGACGCCCGCGTGATGTTGCGGCGTCGGTCTTGGCATTATTTCGTGCAGATCTTCGTAGATAACTCCAGCTGTGGTGGGTCCATCCCTATTAGTTTGCGGCGAATTCTTGCACGGTAGGAAGTTTTGTACTTTTCTCTTATGTCTGTAATAAAGAAATATAAACATTAAATTATCATTAATTTTAATCAATGATTATAATTAGTTAAAATTCTTTAATACTTTTTAAATTAACTTTTGAACAGATAGTATTATTGTTTTCGAAGAATAGCGGCGCTATTATTTGTCAAGGTTCGTCCAGGAAACGAGTTTTTAACTGGCAAAGCAGCCATGTTTATTAAGTCATTATCCTGGCGCTCTTCGAAGACAAAGGAGGAGGAGACAATTGGGATAATTTGAGTGGGAATTACCAAAGTTTCTTGGTAGACGTAAGAGAAATTGAGGTGACTCTATCCTTTACAATTTCTAAGAATTAGTTCTAAAATATTGCATACATTAATTTATTAGATTCTCGTTGGATTAAAGCCAAATTTCTCAACAGAAACTCCTTCAATTACATTAAGAAGATCTAATAAACTAGAATTTAGACTTTGGTATAATGTTTAGAAACTTCTTTGATCACGGTTTATATCTACATAATTATTATTACTACGCATTAGTCACTGGACATATTTATTTACTTTCAACTACACAAATAGATTAAAGCAAAAAAATAATTAAAAAGAATCGGTTAATTCAAGGCTTAAAAAGCGTTTTTTTTGTCGCTGTCAAATAAGTGATATATTTAGAGAAAACAGACTTGGAAACGTAAAAAGTTCTTTTATCTTTTTTAGTTGAATTAGATTTTCTTGGGAATTCTCAGTGGTCCTTCTATAAATCTTTCTTCTTCCGGTGTAAACCTTCCATCGCGAGATTAGCGTGGAATTAAGAACAAAGGGTTTCATTTGCTGCAGTTCTTAGACCACTCCGAGAGCGCGGTCTTTTGTCACTCCCGGTCATTAACTTTTTACGGGATAATTTCCCTTTTTGCGCAAGTTTCCAAAGATTTGCATAAGAAAGCTCGCTAATCCATCTTGGTATAAAAATTTGTTTGAATTTCTCAACCTCAGTCCAAATAAGTTTTCGCTTGGCCTTTTTGCAGCAAATAACTTATGAATATGCGTTCAAAATGGGATCGATACACGTCCGTTTCCGTTTTAAAATAAGTCAATTTCCTTTTAGCGAAATTGAAACGTATTTTACCAGGAAATTATGAACGGACAGAAAACGGATTTCTGTGTGTTATATAGCTAAACTGGTTCGTATCGAATATAAACCATTCATCATTGCCGGAAAAATCCAATCTAAATTAACTTGTCCGAGACCGCGTTTTACGGAGACGACTTAATTTATAAAGCGCCGTCCCCTACGAATCGATTTATACGTTCGACTTTGTTATTTATTCGAGCCAAACGTTCATTACCAGTCCTGTAATTGCCAAGGAGAAGTACAACTTTGGAATTTTAGTTTAATTGGACCAGCTCGTCTTTTATTAATAGCACGTCACATCGATCGAACATTTTAACCGCAATAATAGTTTTTAATGGACTAATTAATTCCGAAATTAATTATTAATACCAGCGCCTGACGTGCCATCAATTATTTAAACCCTAACGGTCGATATATCGTATAAATTTAATTAAATTTACGATACGACAGAAAATAGAAAATCCAGGTTAATCCACAATTTCAAGATAATCTTATTGCAAAATTTATTGTTGATTTTTATTGATTGTATTGCAAAAGACTAATTTTTGCTAGTAGAAGACTAAGTACTGCTGCCAAAAGACTATATATTCCTGCCAGAAGACTGGCTACTACTGGCGGAAAATCAGACGAAAACCAGAAAAAAGACTAAATTCTCTTAATGGGTACTAGATAGTACCAATAAAAGACTACTGCTAGTAAAAGTCTAAGTACTGCTGAAAAAAGCCGATTGAAAGCTGATTTTGTGAATGTATTTTATTTTTTTCCCAATATTAGATGATTACCAAAATCAGAGATTTCTTATTTATTCCAATATTTTTATGATACAACCTATATATTATTATACATCTTCTAAAAGTAGAGACTTTGGGCTTTAATTTGATATATAAATCATGGCTTAATATCCATAAATAAAGCCACAGCGATTTTTTGAACTTATTCAATTTTCTTCGATATTAAATAATGACCAAAATCAGAGATTTATTATTTAATGTTTATCCCAATATTTTTATAATACAACCTATATATTCTTATACATCGTCTAAAAGTAGAGACTTTGGGTTTTAATTTGGTATATAAATCATGGCTTAATATCCATAAATAAAGCCACAGCGATTTTTTGAATTTATTCAATTTTTCTTAGATATTAGATGATGACCAAAATCAGAGATTTCTTATTTAATATTTATCCCAATATCTTTATAATACAACCTATATATTCTTATACATTGTTTAAAAGTAGACTTTGGGTTTTAATTTGGTGTATAAATCATGGCTTTATATCCATAAATAAAGCCACAACGATTTTTTTAATTTATTCAATTTTTCTTAGATATTAGATGATGACCAAAATCAGAAATTTGTTATTTATTATTTATCCCAATATTTTTATGATACAACCTATATATTATTAAACATATTCTAAAAGTAGAGACTTTGGGCTTTAATTTGGTATATAAATCATGGCTTAATATCCATAAATAAAGCCACAACGATTTTTTAATTTATTCAATTTTTCTTAGATATTAGATGATGACCAAAATCAGAAATGTCTTATTTATTATTTATCCCAATATTTTTATGATACAACCTATATATTATTAAACATCTTCTAAAAATAGAGACTTTCTGCTTTAATTTGGTATATAAATCATGGCTTAATATCCATAAATAAAGCCACAGAGATTTTTTTAATTTATTCAACTTTTCTTAGATATTAGATGATGACCAAAATCAGAGATTTCTTATTTAATATTTATCCCAATATTTTTATGATACAACCTATATATTATTAAACATCTTCTAAAAGTAGAGACTTTGGGCTTTAATTTGGTATATAAATCATGGCTTAATATCCATAAATAAAGCCATAGAGATTTTTTGAATTTATTCAATTTTTCTTAGATATTAGATGATGACCAAAATCAGAGATTTCTTATTTATTATTTATCCCAATATTTATATGATATAACCTATATATTATTAAACATCTTCTAAAAGTAGAGACTTTGGGCTTTAATTTGGTATATAAATCATGGCTTAATATCCATAAATAAAGCCACAGCGATTTTTTAATTTATTCAACTTTGTTTAGATATTAGATAATGACCAAAATCAGAGATTTCTTATTTAATATTCATCAGTCACAGTGATTTTTTTTAATTTGGCAACAGTTGGAAGAACAGAGAATATGCAAAACTGTATATGTTGGTCTTAGAAAAAAATGAGAGCTTTTTTTTCAGGATGATGGAACTGCCACATTTCGATGTAACAATTGCTGAATAAAGTTTCAACTGGGCTTGGAATAGGTCAAAAAGATTCTAAGGAATGTCCGAATAAGTAGAAAGTTCTGGGTCTGAAATAGACCTAGAACATGACAAAAACTTCAGAGGATTCTGTGCAGCAATAACATCTACGGCATTTCGTAATATGCCTAAAAGTTATGTGATTCAAATGCGCCGTCAACAAGATAGCAATCAATTTGAACAATTCCCCAGTACTGCCTAAGCGGTGCAATTTCAAAACATGGCAATTCAAGTCAAAAATTTGTTTTAGTTTGCTAGTAATTTCTGAAAAAGACAAAGCGATCGCTAGGTAAACAAAAGAATGCTGCAATTATGGCTTGAATAGATCTACACATTTTTGCAGATTCGGAATTTGTGCAAGCGATGATCCAAGTTCTACAGAGGTCGAAATCAACGATGAAAAATTACAGTGCCGTATAATTGGTGGATGTATAATTCGCCATGTTCACTGAACCTTCGATGCCCACGTCTCAGGGACCAAGCATTTTTTCTATTTTGACTTCAATCGGACCTTCGTAAATTGCCATTCCAGCAAACAAAGTCGAAACCGGGACGCCGTCCCATGAAAAGTACAATTCCAGCAAAACGAGCCCACCCAGGTTTGAAAGAGATGTTTCATCGCTTGAACAATAACAATTCCGTTGCATGCATTGAACCCAAAAGAGAAGTGCATTTGAAGTTCGAAAATATTCAACAGATTTATTTGGCAAAACTCCAATTCAGAATAGTGTGGCATTTATTATTCATTATTATGAGATATTATCTTGTAAAATATTATGCATTAAGTAAATAATTGAGCTTTTTCTGGACTTTTCTAGCAAGACAAAATAATTATCAGAATCCTTTCTTTGACTTATTTTTTTGTAAACAAGAGATTATTTTTTAAACTACTTAAGAAATGACTGGAAATACCACAAAAACACACACACATAATATTTTCTGCCTCGTTATCTAAAGTGTGCCACTTGTTCAAGTTTTAAATAACAAAATTGGTACATTTCCACTCAACCAGTTTTTGTCGTTGGTAATGGTCTTTACTCATCATCTTCTGGAAAATGTTTAACGGCATCGTTTTAACATGCACATGACAGCTAAGCGTGTACAAGAAGTAGGCCAAAGTGGTTTGAAGGTACTAAACTTCTAACGTAGGGGCGAATTAAGTCGTTCGAGTGGCCGGTGTTGCTGCGTTGTCACGTCACCGTCGAGTATTCTCTCCTCTTACCGTCAACGTAGACATCGTCGTCGTCGCGTTTAAGTACTCCATTGTTCTCTCCACGTGCATAATCGTCAGCTGGTGGGCCTCTGCTCCACCAAGTTTATGCATAATTAAGAACGTGTGTGCCTCTGTCTGTTTGAAAGGTGACCCCATTCGACAAACTCGACACGTAACATAAAACGAGGAATAATATTAAACACGAGGGGAGAAATAATTTTGAATAAAAATTGCAAGAAAGTATGTTCATTATATTAGATGATTCATCTATTTAACAAATCGTTATATTTGTTTTATTACAAGCTGTTTTATGTAACATTATTCGAAGGGGAGCTCAACCAGATCTCGTTTAGCATCCTGCCGAGAACTGATCGCGGTGAT